GAATTATTCATGGTATAATTTCGCAATTTGGCGCAACAAGGCGCAATTTCATTTCGCAAAACAAAATTTGAAAATTTTGTATTCTAAATTTCTCTGTCAATTGCTGTTTAGAGTACGTTTTTATGAAAGATTTTGTCTTTATTACCGTTATTATTGTGGGAAAAAATTGAAGCAATGTTTATGAAATACGAGAATTAAAAAAAATATTTCGAGAGGCGAATGTTATTATACAGCTTTTCTTTTTCTTTCATTTAGTAGTTAAATTGAATTGAAATTAAAATTATAGCATTCAACAATAATAAATTTAAAACTAAAAATTGACATCTGGCAAAAGCATTTCAATAGGTAATCGGAGTTCCATGAAAACGTCAGTACTGATGTTCCTTAATTTGAAATTATTCGTCATGATGCTTCTATTGAAATTCTATTGAAATTCTATCTATCTATCTATCTATCTATCTTGTCTATATATATAGTACTATATATAATATATATAAGTAGTTACTATTATATAATATATATAGAGAGAGAGAGAGAGAGAGAGAGAGAGAGAGAGAGAGAGAGAGAGTTTTTTACATTTAATTTGATTGAATACAATGCGCTGAGCATGTGGAATTCAGAAGCAGCAGTGGGTGTTTGAATGGGGCAGAGTAGACGTTCGGTGCGGGGGGGGGGGCGAACATTTGTGGGGACGGGCGATGATCGCGAAGAGGCTGCGGAGCGTGATGAAGAGGAGGGTGGGAGGGCGGGCGGCGGGCGGGCCGGAAGGCAGAAGAGCAGGGTGGGGCGTGGCGAGGATGTAAATAAAAATACTTCCATTTTACTCTCAAAATAGAATTCAACCCTTTTCCTACCTAATGCGTGATTGTGGAAAATAAATATCTTGAAACTTCTGGTTACTTCAGCTTAAAAACATATCTTCCTTAGATTGTGGCTTGTAGTTGGAATGAGCTCTCTGTGCTTCTCTTTGGTTGGTGTCCCCATATGACCCGCCTTGTCTAATGACATGGTTGCCACTGCAGTGAGAAAATTGAGCAATTTTATGGGTCTATTTGAATGGAAGAATATTTTAAACTACCTTGTATGTTTTAGCACGTCTGCTCTTTAATTTATTCTACATTAAAAATGGACCTTAATTAGCAGACTATTTCATAAATTACAAGTCATACTGGTATAAATAATACATTTTCAATTTAATATATTTATAATATGTTTTATTTACAATAACTGATACAAAATTTTCTACAAGAGATTCTTTTACTATTTATTCCTGACGCATCATAAATGGCTGTCAAAATTTCGTTTTAAATTATGTCAGAAGTTCTTTTCAAAACAGTGGTTTTCTTTTAACAAAAAAATTGCGAATACTTATCTAATTCTGAACTGAAATTTACTAGCTCCTCGAAGACTCCTGGACTATATATTCTGCCGAGTTTCAGTAAACACACTACTTACAGTCGCGACGACGACAGCAACAACAACAGGAATGGCAGTACTCAACATACAAAGCTTTTATATCCCCACTGGCCGCAACGAGGTTTGCAGCCCCTCTATGTAATAAACATGAAAGGCATACTGGCAGCGCTTCTCCAGATACTTGCGCAACTTGGGAGATGAGTGTGCACAATTAGTGTTTGACCACAGCTAGATTTGTCGGAACAACTACAAATCTCGCTGGCAAGTACAATTTGTCGTTCAAAGAATAACCAGTGGTACTTCAGAATGGTACAGATTTTTGGTCCAGTAAATTAGAGAAAGCCTTAACCGCGGGAAAAAAGTCCCCTTGAGCTATGTTTTCGCAGAGCCCTTTGTGTTGTTTTTTAAAACGGGTGAAAAGTTCGAAGTGATATCACGTGAGCATTCCAAATTATTATAGATCAAAGGTCATGGAAATAGCTTTTTGGCTTTGATTTATTTCAGAAACAGCATAAGTTTATGACAAGTAACGTTTCAGTGACTAAAAATATTCTAAAGCGGCTATATTTGTCATACATAAACAAGGTGTCAATTTTTTAGTTGTGTTCCACTTCTTTCGTAGAATTATCGTCTCATTTAGCAAAACGTTAAATTCTATTTTTGGGGGGTTTTGTAGAAACACACGTCGTTGACTTATGATGCTTCTAAAATAAAACATTTTGGGACTAAAAGAAATATTGCCATTCATTAAATTCTTCTTTATCTCGAATATATTTTAACACCTACGACCTTCAAATCAATTACTAGAATGTTATACATGTATGAATTCACTTTAATTACAAGAAATGTTTAAATGTTTCATTTAACCATTTATTTCCACAATGAATTAGACATACCCTGCTTAGCTTTGGAATGCTCCATTGAACGCCCTCATTCTTTCCCGCGGGGGACATAAAAGTTTAAGTACATTTCATCTCCAGATTATTTTCTTTATAGAGACGTCCCTCAGGATATGCTGAGTTGCTTGGCAGAATTATTTAATTAGTATACCTTTGATAGGGACAAAAGACACCAGTTCTTCGATAGTCTCTTGCAATTACCACAGCATCATTTTTAATAGAATGGTTGAAGTACATAAATTTGCTGATCTGGAACGTTTTTTCTGAAGTTTAGGGACTCTTTCAGTGTCAATACATGTCCTGTTCGTTTCGTAATATCCTGGCCACTAACGCGTATAATCAATTACATCAAAACAGTTAGGGATAATGACTTGGAATTACGTATTATTTTTGCTTGAGATCACTATCAATACTCCTTTACTATTGACTCCTTTAAAGTGTAATCATGATTGCAATTAATGCTTTAATTTCCTCTTTAGAACTTTTTGTACCCACAGTGCTAAATGCATTTGTAAGATGGCATAAGAGCTACTTTGCTGTATATTTTTTTCAAAAATTACGCAAATATATATTTTTATAAAGTATTTTTCACGCCGTTAATTCGTTATTTTTCAGTAATTTGTATACATTATTGCATTTGGAAATGGAAATGCTTAAAATGGAAACCATTGAGTTTTTTTGGAAACTGTGATAAAGAGCTTCAATTTTCTCATTTACAATAACGTTTGTACAACATTTTCCGAAAAAACGGTTCCAAATTTTTCAACGACAAGAACTATCTAGTTGAAGATTTTACTCTTATATACCTTCTTTAAAGTAATATTTCAGTTCTACCGTTAGAAAACCGAAAATTGAGATAGCAGCTGGCAAGAGGACGGGGCAAGGTCAAAAACTTGGCCGGGCCGAAGAAATTAGAAAACTCACTAGTACGACAAAATATGTGTGATTCTGTAGCACCACAAGTTGACGATACATATATAAAATAGTAGACAGTTGACGTACGCGGAACTCGACTTCGCAGACCGGCTCCTCCTCGTACTCGGCCTCGTACACTGCTCCCGCGCATGCGCCTGTTTCCAAGTGCAAGCACCCGCTTCTGCACGGGCAACTTCCCCTCACTCCGCACACACTTCCCCTCAAAATCCAGAAAGGGGTGGACATGCGCAAGCTGAAGGGGTGCGAGACGGTGAATAGTGGCTTCGGACGAAAATATGTTTGACAGATTTTTTTTCTATCAAATAATCGAGAATTGTATTATGTTCATATTCTTTACTACATAATTCTACTTGATGTTTATTTTCTTATTAAATTATCCCTTATATAAACATCTTTGCTAATTAACAGGAATATGTTTGAATGGCGAATTCTAACCTTGCGTTCGTTTTGGGTTGTGTATATCGACAGGTCTCAATAAGTTAACAAATCTCGCTTATGGACGGCCAACGCTTTTGACAGACAAGAATATTTGTCTGTTAAACCTAACGTGAATGTTGAAAGTTCATACTTTTATATCACTCTTAAGTTAACAGAATTACAAAATCAACATTCTTTGGATTTTTTAAAATTTTATTTTTTTAAATTTTGATCCTCTTAATTGAGAATTTTTAATCAGATTGATGTATTATTTCATTTTAATGGACCATTGCTTTGCCTTAAAGAGAAAATGGGAATTAATATAGCTCAATTTGTGACAACTGTCAAGTCACTTCTCCCAAAGACTGGCACGGGCCAGTTATCCAGTGAAGTACCTCCACTCTGGAGGTATTGGTACAAGCTTTGCTTTTTAAGCTCCTTACCTAGTCCTAGCCCATGACCTTGACAATCATTGATCAGAAAATGCAATTAGTTCAAAATATCGTGAGAAAAATACTTATTGAATCACTCAGAACATGTTAGGTCCTCATGGTTTTCTCTGTGTTGTTCATACTCTATTCTATCCTCTGATACCAATATTAATTGATGATTTATGTAGTACCTGACAGAGTTCGTTAAAATAGTTCAAAAGGAAGTATAAACATCTTGGTGCACTAGTATGTTTAGATGTGTCTGGGTACCCCCCACCTCCCCAGTAGTTAGTTTTATTTCATTTAACATATTATGTGTCAGCCTTATCTGATTTGATGTATACTGCTTGAAAATCTGAGCACAGCCAGTATTAACTTAAGAGAATAATGCTCTTTAAGGCTGCATAACCTGTCAGGAGAAGGACAAGAGCCAGGTTTACTTCCTTAATAAGAATGTAATTAAAATGTTGATGAATGTTAAGTTTTTGCCAAAACACTGTCATAGTGTTTAAATTGATGTAATTGTCATCATTAGCGCAATGATATGAAATGTCTCCATGTAATACATGTTTACAGAAACATAGAAATCCTATTCCAAAATATTATTTCTCAACAGTGGAACTCTCTTTATTCTCCAACCCTTGCCTATGTCTGAGATTCAGAATGCATTCAATTTACTGATTTTTTTCTAATCTAAGTGTTCAGTAATTTTTGATAGTAAAACTTTTAAAAAATTATTAATGTTATGAACATATTTAAAACCAAATAAGTGCTTGCTTTGGAACAAAGAAGATGCAGTTGTTAATGAAAGAATAAGTTTTTTATTATTAAAAAATACCATTAATAAATTGACTCTCTGATGTGGAACAGAATTTCCTTAACATTCTTTATTTTATTTCAGGTTTATTCAGAAGCATATGTTTCATTTTATTCATCCTGGTTCCTGGTGGAAGGACTATTTTTCGGGAAGGATACTTCAATGGATCATCCCATGTGGTCCTTCAAACATCTGTCAACCTGTTTGGCCACACGGGTCTGAGTTTCCGAACTTGTAGTGGAGGAGAACTTTTCTCACAAGAGATTGGTAGAAACGAATTATCTTTGAATGTGGAAGCAAGTGGAAATCTCAAATTGACTGCAAATCTTGAAAGTGGTCATAATTTTGAAACTCGAATACCTGCTTTTTTGGTGAACAGCATGTGGTATACTGTGAATTTGATGTACCATTTGGGCACTCTCACATTAACAGTGGCTAATTATTCAGAGGTAAAGTTTTGTTCTGTTCAGATATTAGGAAATTGTTTTCATGTTTTTGCAAAGAATAATTTTTTTCTGTTCAGTACCATTAAGTGAGATTAAGAGACCCAAAAATATATTTGTTGAAATGAAGAGCAAGTTTTTCAGATACATGTGTGTGTGTGTGTGTGTGTGTGTGTGTGTGTGTGTATTTATTATTAATATCAATATAATAAATAATAAGTTTTATTAATAATTTTTAGGAATTTCATATGCCATTTACTTTCAATCGCATTCAAGATGTTAATTTACAAAAGGTGTGTCTTGAAATAGTGTTTTTTTGTTCCCTCTCATTATATAATATTGTAAAGGAAAATATTTTTAGCATCTAAATAAAATGTCAATGTCAGAACCTTCACACAAGTTTGTTAATAATGGAATATAACACTTGTCTGTAGTAGAACTGATATTAATTGTTGTTACCTGTTACAAATGTGCATTATTGACTAATATTTCTGACCTAAAATACTTTTAAATGAGTTTCTGAACTTGCAGATGAGGGGTGAAGAACACAGATTTCAATTCATAATTTTTCTCTCTCTAATTTTAAATTGATATCAATGATTGATTCATAGTTCAGAAACTGTTAAGTCTACTGTATCAAATTTTTACTAAACAAAGAGAAACAATTGATCTTTTATATTAATATAGAAACAAATCTTGTTATAAAATAATTGTTATTGCAGAAGAACACATTAGCTTGTTGAGGATATTGTAATGATTACCTTGTATTTTGCAGATTGTGGCCAATTCTACTTACAATAGTGAATTGCTAACAAATGCTGGTGTCTTCAGTAATGCCTCAGTGTTGTATGTGGGCCGAACATTTGTAGGTTGCATTTTAGAAGGCCCAGGCATTATATTTAACTCTTCCCAAACCAGTTCTCTCAACGTGGACTGGGGTCCATGTCCTCTTACTCAAAGGAACTGTGAGTCATTGTTTCAAGTTTTTGTTTGAATTCTTTTAAGCCTATTATTAATGCTTTAAAGATGCATGTGATATTATCAGTGTTATGTTGAACAGAAATTTTTATTAATTTTCTTTCATACATTACAAAGAAACATTTCAATTGAATTGCCATTTAAAAAACTTTTATATAAAAAAAAAAAACCTGTTCAGTTATTTGTTCATTTAGGGAGTAAGGTTGAACATCAGCCAACTTAAACCTATGACAATTATGATAATGATCAACCAGAGACATGTTTTAAAACAATAGTAAACATGAACACTAAAATAAATTGCCCATCAAAGCAATACCAATCAGTCATCCATTACAAGAAACTAACCAAAATTTATATTAAAATTATAAATAATCCTCTTCATTAAGTTTCAGGAAAGGGAATTTGGATAAGATTCTCTCATTTTAAAGCTTATACTAGTTGAATTCATTTAAATTAAAATATTTTATTTCATTTATATTTTAAATGTGGAGGGAATAGAATAGAGAAAAAAAATATTGAAAATTGATTTTTTCAAAAGTACAAATGTGTTATTGTTTTCATAAATCAAGGATTTCCAAAATATTATTTTCATGAAAATATTGTGGTTGAATTTTTCTTTCAGTGTAATGAAGTGGAAGTTAATTCTGTGTAATCAGTATTTTCACTTAACTATTGACTAGAAGAAAGTTGAAGTAGTCCATACAGGCATTTATAAGCATTTTCATTTTCTCTGTAATATTAAATGAAATGTATTCCTGGATATTTCCTTGTATTGGTCTCTAACACAATATCTCCCAAATTTTTGAAGAGTTAAGAAAAAATATTTCAATAAACTTGATTGAATTAAAATGCAGTACACTGCAGTCAAATTATACACTTCCATAATAGGCTATCCATTGAAGAAGCATTCAACTGGGAAAAAAAAAAAAAGATTAAGAAAGAAAATATTACTACCTTTCCATTTGAGCCCATTTTTCTTGCCATTTTATTCTGCAATATGATTACTCAAGTAAAAGTATCAATGTTATGTTTTATGCATTTTTGCTGAGCTTGTAGAACTAATTTTTATAGAATTATCACTATTTTGCAATCTTGCATGAGAATTTTAATGTATCCGTATCTTCAGTTGATATTATGGTCTACAGAACACTTATGCAAGGTGCATGGTAGAATGCCTTATTTCAATACTGTGAGATAAATGTCATTCCTTTTTATTGCTTTTGTGCATGATTCTTTACGAAAATGCAGTAGTTAAATACTTAATTTTTTAAATTCAGTATTTTTAATTTCTTCTTCAGCTTCTCTTATATGTAGAGTATATTAGCCTCATTTTTCCTTCATAATTAAAGCTGAAACTTGGTACTGAGGAGATGATTACAATCTGCCAAACAAATCTTCCTTTTTGATCTCATATGCCTCCCTATCATTCTGGGGAACAAGAAAGTTAATACTACAAATTTTTTCTTGATTTTCTTTTCCATTGAAATATATGAATTGATCCATGAGCAAACACGTTTTTATGAGAACTTTGATCATTTTCTCCATGTTATGGAGATTAGAAAACTAAACAATTATGATTTTATGAAGTAAATTTAGTTTCTAAGTTATCAGAATTATTTCTAAAATAGAAATATATTGAAGTGTTGTAGGCAATGAGAATCATGTCAAAAGTAAAGATACTACTATATTTTCTCATTTTGCAAGTCAAATTAATGGCTTGTTGTTCAAATTTACAACAAATGAACTAAAGTTATTTGAGACTTTTTGCAATCAATAAATTATTTCAGTACATTCATTTTTATTTCAATTTTATTATGATTTGTATGAAAGAAGATCTTTACTTGCTTAGGAAATATCTCTTTTTAACTTGTGTTAAAATCCGTTTGTGTTGAGATCTTACATTTAATTTTTTATTTATTCCTAAATTTGCTAATATTATTGATGTAGTGTGTTTATGCATGTTTGTTTTAAATGTTGTCTTCTATTTAGTTTAATAAAGTACATCTTTTGTCTGTTCAAGCACGTTTTGTATGCTACAACATTTTGAGTTATTCAACTCTTATTCAATGTTTGGTTGGTGTAGTATGTTTTCCAGAGTGTATTAATGTGTGTTCCAATGTGTTTTGAAAGCACACACTGCCTGTGCATTTGTGAACACTAGTTATTTTTTGGTGGCTGGTAAGCGTGTGCTGCACCTTATCATGTAGTGAGAGCTGAATAAGTTGTTTTGGCAGGCACTGTGCCGGATCACTGCAGTTCTGATCCTTGCATGCAGCACGGCGTGTGTGAATCCCGTCCTGACGGGTATGCCTGCCTCTGCAATCCTCGCTATGGCGGCACCAACTGCGAGATTGACAAGGGTGAGAGCCCGAGCACTATTGACTCTTAAGCATTTTGTTAATATGTATTAATTATGAATAATTAAACAATTAAGAGTCATATTGTGCTAATCTGTATTTTTATTCATCACAAAGGAGTTGAGAAATTATTTTCAGAACATTTAAAATGGGGATGAAAGCACATTTCTAGATTTCAGTGTACATTTTAAGTGAAACGTTAATGTAGTAGAGCAATGGTTTATCACTTATTTATCAATTTGTAGGTAAATAATAAACCCAATTTTCCATATTGTTCTTTGAATGTTAACTTATTGCTGTTGATGGGGTGTGTGTTTCTTTGATTCTATTTCTATTTAAAAGAGCAGAAAAATGTGTGGCGGCTCTTGGTCATAATGACAAGGGTGTAAAATTGGAATGTGTATTTACTTAATTGCAGTTACATTTTACTTCACACTTTTTTGAGATTCCCTTTTCTCTTTCGTTGTAATTAGAAGACAAGCATGATTGATTTCTTTGTGTGTAAGTGATATTTAAAAATTTAATTGCTTTTTGTGACACACTATATTTGAGGAATTGATTGCAATGTTGAATACAGATTTTTAGGGAGGGGGAGGGGAATATTAAATCTTTTTTTGTTTTCATAAAAACTCTGATATCGTAAATATGAAAATTATAACACTAATAACGTAATATTTTGAAATTATCCTGTGACTCAGAAATTTATAGAAATTGCAATTATAATAAATGTGTTAAAATGAAATATTATCTACAAGTAAGAGTAGCAAGTTGTAATATATATATGTACAATGAACAGATGCCTTAACAATATATTAAAAAAGTTTTTTAAGATGTGTACAAGTTTTCAATGAAAGTACCTATGGATTCCCTCATTCAGTTGACATTTTCACACAAACTGGAAATTTATTGTGACCATCCTGTTTCTTAATTTTATAAGTACCCTGTTCTCAATACAGGACTTATGCCTGTAGTGGAAATAGGATTACACACACAGTGCACGTTAAGTGAAATAATTATTTCATATTCATGACAATGAAGACTTGCACATCTCCTGACTTCGTTGAGTTTAAAAGAAATGAAATTGATATTTAAAAGATGATTGTTGATACAAGTCATATTAAAATTTATATGAAATTTGTGTGTGGTGGGTGGAAGGTAGGGGATTTTTCAATTTTCGGGGGATATTTTGGCCACCTCCTGGATTTAACACTGATGCAGTTCCTCGACTCTAGCAAATGATGTCTACAAATGGATTATACGTATCATAAACATTAAGTTTAATTTCTGCTTCTTTGTGGATTATTTTAACTGTGGCTTATGCACTGGATCTTTCATTTACTGCTTCTGCCTTTACTTTTTTTGCTTCTGCTTATATTGTTGCTACTGGAGCTGCTTCTATTGGTGCTATTGCTTACAGTGCCAAATCATGCAATCAAAAGATCATCCTGATGCATCTCCCATTAGTTCATTTAATAATTAGGAATGAATTTAGCAGTTGATGGATTAAAAACAATCTAATTCAAATTTTTAATACACATAATTTTTTTCTTCTTATTCTTTTCATCTGTATTATGAGTTTGTATTTACTATTACATTTTCAGTTGATTTACTCTATAAATATAATACAACCTAATGAATTGAATGCATTCAAGAAAACGTTATTTTGAAAAGGTTTGAAAATCAAACTTAAAAAAATAGTCTACATGAACTTCATGTAAACTTTTTTCTATTATATTGTCTCTCAAATTGTGTTTTCCTTTTTATTTATTCAGAAACTTTATACAATTAAAGTAAAAAAGTTAGGCCTAACTTGTCAGCTCTGCAGAACTACTATTTACATTTTCAAATGTAATTTTTAATCACTTAACAAATATGAAAAGAAATATTTGTGTTATTTCACTGATTACCAATGCTGAATAAAATAAATATAATATTAAACATTGGTAAGATTTTTTATTTTAAATTTCAGTTATATTTGAGGGTCTTATTATCAGGGTTCAGACTTTTAGGTAAATACTTATTCCCTGCCCCCTCTAATATTGAGAATTGAAAGTGAAGTGGAAATTCAACTGTACCCCAAATTGCATATCATCTAAAAATAAATATTTTTATTAAATTGCCTAAAAATCAGTATTTTATATGAATATTATAATATCATAATTTTATATAAATAAATGATTATTTTGAGAATTTTCAAGTTGAATACTTTGGAGTTTTTGATAAATGGTGAACGATGTGTCAGACATTTTACTCTGGGACTTCACCAATTGATGAACGATACTCTGAGTGATAACATACACTCAACACGAGCAGCCTCCAAAATTCCTCAGATTGCACAGGCGAAATGTGCAGATTGATAAAGAGAATGACGACACATTTTACATTGAGACTTCTCTCGATCTTGATCACTGATATTCATATGGATAATAAAGAAATATTTTCATCTTTCTAACACATTTTTTCACTTTTTAAGCACACAAAAAATAAACATTTTCTGTGTTTTTTTATCGCACCTAAAAGCCCAAGCCCTACTTATTATTGTGTTATTCATTGTCTTATTTACATGTATAAAATTAGTCTTCTTCTTAGAAACATTTGTATATTATCAAAGAAATAACCATGAGCCGTCACTGTTGGGTCGTTTAAAATCACTATTTGAAATAATTTGCTTGTAATACATAAGACAAAATATGATATTTTAACATATTTTAATGGTGAGTCAAAATAAAATATACTGCTAATAACTAACACTTAGAAGTACCAAAGGAAAAGAAACAAGAAATTTAAAAGAAGATAAAAAGTGAGGAAAAAAAATTTAAATATTAGTAAGAGAAAAAGTGACTATGGTAGTGGTGAAAAAGTGAAATATAATAGGTAGATTAGAAAACAAAGAAAAATATTTTAAGAACATAATTTTTAACGTAGCCCAGTGGTAACAATGACGTTTATCTGAGGAGTGATTAATTCCAGTTGAAACTCTGTAAATTAAATGTATATGTTTTGAGTACTGTTATGTCCAGAAACATATATAAAGGAATAAACAGATAACAAATATTTATTGCATACTTCATACAATTCAGAGTTCCAGTTCAGATAGCTAACTATGCTTTGTCCTATGTAATAAAAAGATATACAATAGTCATCGTCACCAGGAGAATTACCACTTCAGAGCCAAAGTCACCAGAGTCCAAATAGAATAACGAAATAGTGGGAATGGTTAGCAAAGGCAGAATTATTATAAAAACTATCAACACTATGGAGAAACTCACTAAACCAGACTGCCTGTTCTGGCACCTGCAGTTCTTTATATCTGTCCGGGTGACGCCGCGTCATCCGGTGTCACCCGGATAGCCTAGTAAATACTGACTCTGGGCGCGGAAGCCTACGCTCTGGCATCAGAAGTGATGACTTGCCTCAACCTTCCATTACAGTGACTGCTTCCTTTGCCTAGCGAGCCTCAACAACAAACACTGCCCGGCTGCACTCGCTGTTGAGGCTCACTAGGCATGTGCCAACTTTAATTACTTCATGTATTCTTAACAAATGGGAAGAAAAGAATAATTTTAATATTGTCATGCAGAATTTGTACCTGAAATAAAGACAAATATTAACACAAATGAACAATTCCTTCAAAAAAGAATAATATGGAAGACAATGGGATTTATCTTGAGGTACTGTTGTATCTCTTTGCTTTTCTTGCAGTCTTAATAAAAATGAGAAAATTTTAAAGTATACTTTATAATGGGAGGAAATGTAGTGTAGCTTGTTAGTATTTAACTGAAATACTGTCATACCTTTGAGTTGTTACCTTATAATGATTTATGATATTCTGGCATTAATATCTTTATTTTTTTTTAAATATTTCTGGAAGTAATACAAATCAATCGCCAATACAAAATTTGTCAAATCCTGTGTAAGATTAGAGAGCACTGTGTTTTTCAAAAACAACTTATATGTGAGTAATTTAATGTTTTGTATTGAAATGAGTAAGTTATTTTTTTATTGCTGCATCTTGGAAACAGAAAAATTGAAAGAAATAGTAGTTTATAGATACTTCAAGCATTCACATATTTCAGTATTACAAAATTTGTAGTACTGAATCATCTGGAACACTCACATTGTGTGATAATAAATGTATAATATAGACTGATCAGAAAATAGAGACATTACTTAAAGCTTACAATTGAGAATTGTGTACTAATAAAAAATGCACTTTTGAAACTGAAAACTTGTATGTATTTTCATTGGCTTGTGGTTCATGAAGTGATTAGGTAGACAAGAATGTATTTAAGTTTTCCAAGGTACCCAATCAGTTGCAGGATTAATCAGAGGGTGAGCGTTATATTTTCAGCATCCATCTTTGTCAAGTAGTTGAATGATATTCATAGATTTAGGTAAAGAGATGAATATATCACTGGAAGCTCAGGAGAAGTTGCATGTTATTCCATATTTTATTAAAAACATCTTGAACCATTATTGCTGTGACTCATTTGTTTTTCTGACAACTCAGTAATTTTGTAGTAAAAATGAAAATTAGGCAGTAGTCAAGTTTGTAGTGTTTTAACACTGCTAACAATATCTAGAATAGACAGTTGTATTAAAATGTTTCTATTTGTCAAATACCGTCTGTTTTCTCTCATGTTTCTTACAGGAAATACCTGTCTTTGCCAAGTAGAACACCGTAGTCTCTTATTGGATGTATAGTGAAACCTCTTTACGCCTACCACATGATTAAAACCTTAAAACTGGTCTTTTAGAGGAGTGGTCTTCTTAAAGGGAACATGGCACTAAACTGTACTCATTTCTGCTCCTGCGACTACTATGATAATTGTCGTAACTCTATTCTGATTTAAAATGAAGGTTTCTATGGAATGGAATAATTATCATGGTCAGTAGAAAACTGGTCTTGAAAAGGGGTGGTATTATTTAAGAGGTGGTTGTGTCAAGAGGTTCCACTGTATTTCAATTTTTTTAAATATTTATTTATTTATTTATTTTGTTGTTGTTTAGTAGTGAAAGTTGATGTACTGTTTGTAGAACCAAAGAGAATGCCTAAAAAACTGTAGTTATTTCTTAGAATTTAGCAACAAAAAATGGGAAAGTAGAATAGCTAATATGAAGCATGTTCATGAAAGAGAAGCATGTATTGGGTTTAAATGAAGAGGTGTGAAATAAGTATGGTTTCATTTAAAATATGTTTTTAAAATATAGAATTTTTTCCAATTGTAAAAAATATTTATGCATGTTAAGGACAGAAGGTTTTAATTTAATTTTTTTAAGTTAAGTTTTGTTTCAAACTCATTCATTGTTTTCTTATATTTATTTTTTCTGGTTAATTTTGAACTAATGTGTGTTCAAAATTTAAGTTTAAATTTAATAAAAAATACCGAATAAGAACTTACTTTTTCATAAATCATTTCTCAAAATCAAGTCAATAGTTTTTGTTATGGGACATAACAAGATTAACAGTCTTTAAAATGTGACAGTAGAAAAGCAATAAGTAATATAAAAATAATGTTAAATGTGGATTTGAATAATTTTATTGCAACTTAATCTCAAAACATGAAATTTTATTTATTATTGTTACCCTTTCATGTTATTTTTCAAAAAGAAAGAAAAGTTATTGGCTGCTTTGCAGGTCCCCCATGTCAACAAAATGGCAGCAGCCCTTGCAAGAACGGAGGAGAATGTGTAGAGAACGCAATGGGTAACTACAGTTGTGTGTGCAATCCATTATTTACAGGTAAGTTTTTTATCAATTGTTGTGCAATTATGATAAATGTAATTGAAATAAAAGTTGATAATTGTCACTCACTTAGGTAAAAACTGTGAAACTGAGATTGGTCTCAGCCCATGCGAGACAAGTCCGTGTATGAATGGCGGTACATGCATTCCACTTGATGAATCTTACCAATGCATCTGTGAACCAGGTAATTGACTTGTGAAATTTTTGTGAGCAGCTTGTCTTAAAATGTTTGTTTTTGTTTTTCAAAAATAATGTTTTTTATATAGGTTTCACTGGTGGAACCTGTGGAATAAACATTGATGAATGTCAATCAATACCTTGTCAAAATGGAGGTACTTGCCAAGATCAAGTCAATAATTATACTTGTCAATGCCTTGGTACTGGGTGAGTAGAATAATTATTTCATTATAACTATTAGTGCTTACAGTAAGTACATAATTTACAGAAAGTAATTTTATTTTAGATATGGAGGAAGGAATTGTGAACAAAACATTAATGAATGTGATGATTTCCCTTGCATACATGGCAGATGCTTTGATACTTACGGTGGTTATACATGTCAGTGTGATCTTGGATATGCTGGTAATAATTGTGATGAAGTAAGTATTTTTATTGTTGTGATTAAAAATGAACTGTTAGATCAAGAAAGAAAATTCATTAACAAAGCAATACATATAGCTATGTTTTTGAAAAAGAAATTAAATTAAGGAAGTGAAATATACATATTTTGAATCAAAGAAAATTACTACAATCGCAACAACAACAAAACAGTAATAATAAATTATTATTATTATTATTATTATTATTATTATTATTATTATTATTATTATTATTATTATTTTATTGCTTATAGACATACAAAAAGTGTTTGCAAAGTCTATCTAGCAGTTAATTAATTTAAATTACAAATAGGAATTATATTATAATAAAATTAGCATTACCTTACAGTTTTTTGGAATCAAATGTACTTACAGTAATACATTGAATTACTTAGCATGTGTGCAATATGTTAATCATATTTGTAAATCATAACAATAAATTTTTAATAAATTTTACAAGACATATTTCCTATTACACTAACTTTCAGAAATAATTCAATTAGTTTACAGGTTAATAATTCATGTAAGTGTTTACATTAAGCATTAAAATAATGTTTTGAATTATGAAATAATCTGTTATGAATCAACTCTGCCATATTACATCCCGACAAATTGACGATTTGACAAATTACATCCTGTAGAATAATTAACGAAAATATTGTCACAGGAATATTAATTTATTATTAAACATGATGATAGTTTCTTTACTAAACGGAATTGATTTTGCAGGAAGTGGATGAATGTACAAGTATGCCATGTAGGAACAATGGTCTTTGTTCAGCTTTGCCTGGTACCTATAGTTGTCAATGTTTAGCTGGATTCACTGGGAAAGACTGTGAAACAGTCGTTACCAATTGTGAAGATATGATATGTCCATCAGGCACGGCATGCAGTATTAACCAAGGAATTGCTCAGTGTGTTTGTGAAGGTATATTTTATTTTATTCATGTTTTTTTATATTATGAGGTATAAAAGAATTGTTTTTATATTATTTTTTACTGTTTTTGGGTCTATTCATATTTTATTTATGTACAGTTTATTTAATTTATGAAAAAGAAACTTCAATGATTTTGTGAAATGCCTCAAAACATATGCAAAAATTGCTTTTGATGTTCTCATCAGTACTTTTGTTTAGAGAAAATTGGACCATAAGGTAGTTTTCGAATTATCTTTCAATATATTCATGCCATCTTTAGTTTTATTTCTTTGCCACTGGAAAAATAAAGACTTCTGTATTCATTTAGTCCATTGAAAACAATTTGAAATTTGTTATGTTTGTATTACATAGTTCTTGAAACATCATTATATATAGGATAATACAAACTCCGGACTTGCAGAAGCCTATGCAATGAATCACCTGCCCTTCTTTTCCTGCAGTTACATAAGAAAACAATGCAACCTGCTAAACTATCAGACTTTCTTCACTTCTTATTCATTTAACTATTGAACTATCTTCACCACAAGATACCACTTCACCACATTTATACCCAGAAGCAAAGCAAAGGGCCATTTCAGCATTTGCTCTGTAAATCAAGAGAAATTAAATGAAAAACCCATTCAAGATAGGAGTCATTGGCCCAGAAAATGAAGTACAATAATTGTTGTAGTCATATTTAGTCTTTTAGAATTATACAATACAGATGGTAAATAATGAATTTTTATCATTAATTAAAATTAATATCAATTTTTTTCTATAGTATACTCTTTAACTGTATAGAAACAGATATGCAGCAGAAAATATTTTACATGCATTTAAACTTTCATATCAATTTTTATTGTTTAATGTCATCAGGCAATGTTTTAAAAAATAATGTACATGTAGTTAATGTAGATTTCTTGTCGTCTGTTTTTCTTAACCAATGCCAAATGAACAATATGTATTGAGGCAGTATGAAACAATAGACTTGTCTAGGTAGGTATTAATACTTCCTAATCTTAAATATTATAGGAGGCTTAAACTGCTCAGCTCCAATTACTTGTAATAGTAATACTTGCAAAAATGGTGGCACATGCAGTAATGGACCTGAAGGATATGTCTGCATCTGTCCTCCTGGATATACAGGTATGTTAAAAATTTAAAATTTCATTGAAATAAATATTGAGGATTCATTTAATTTAAAACAATATATTCTTGTTCTCTGTGAGATTTAAGCATGGTTTTAAGTTTATTTATGTGAATGAAAGTAGTTGCATGCTGTGATGTATCTTTATATGAATGCCTCTAGTTCAGCATGTTGGCTTATATTTGTGTTTATAAAAATGTATTGCATTATACCTGTTCTATTTTGTCTTCATGTATCTTATGATGATGTAGAGTGCAACATGTTCACAAATACTTCAAAATACTGTATATTTATCCATTGTATTCTCAGATAACCTTTGTGCTTTGATTCTCAATATTCTCAGATGATTAAAAAAAAATTGTGTCTCTAATTTATATTTTTAATAAACTTTCATCTTATTCTTCATTTTTTACACTAAATTCCTTGAGACCACAAATAATAATCATAATAACAATAATGAAAACAATTTGAGGAATTACAAATGCAACTGAGACATGTCTGGGAATATTGAGATTATTTCTAATATATAATATGTATTCAGTAGTTGCAACTGTTTAATGTACTTGTAACTATGAATGTTTTCTGTTATTGTGTATCATTGCATGTTAAATGTTGTGCTGTAAGACAAAAACTGTGAAATATCCACCGAATCATGCATCATGATGTCTTGTAAAAATGGTGGCACCTGCATGCCAAATGGTGAATGTGCGTGCCCTCCTGGCTTCACAGGCCCCATGTGCCATTTGCCGCTTCAGTGTTCAGATTATCCTTGCATTAATGCCAGCAATTGCTTCGATGACTTTGATGTAAGTATGAAATGCTAATTGTTATGTTCTCCAAAACATTTTTAGGAACAATTTGTGTTATACATTTAAGTTGCCAAATTTTATGGAACTCTTATTTCTATGTTGGCACCTTTATCGAAGGTTTTCTTCAGTTTATGTTAATGAAAGGAAGATTTATTAGTTATTATCATTATTATTATTAATGACTGTCAAAATAATAATTAATCATAACAATACAACATAATACCAAAAAAAATGATACAATAACAATTAATAAGAAGAATAATACAGTGTTCTTTTTACCTGTTGTGTTTTGATAAAATAATAAAGCATCATAATTAACCAGGAGCAGATCCAGAAAGCATTTCAGAAGAGTGACGATTTCAATTCAGACCCCAATTATTATTTTGGAACTAATAATTTTTTTAAATTGTCAGCTTCAATTAAAAAAGAAAGCATATATATTTATAATGGGAGTACTACTTGAAATAATATGAAATGAATATATGGCAATTATTATGAATAAATTGAATAAAATCTCCCAAAAAATGTTGGCTTTGGAGGGGGCCATGGCTCAATGGCCCCCCTTGTACCTAATCTTTTCTCAGAACATGCACTTGGTTTTCACATTTTTCGACTCCAGTCTCTAGATATCGTATATTGGCTGCACCTATTCTGATAGGTTTTTTCCTTTTTATTTTCATATGAAATAAAAATGTTAAATACACGTACTAAAGGCGAAACTTGGACAAAAACTCATTTTATTTTTGATTGTTTAAGGTCATAAATTTCATAGAATTGTATAGTTGTTATTTTATTTTATGCAGTGAATTATGTCAAATGTAACTAAATGAACAATGTATACAAGTGATAGGATAGAACACTTTTTTCATGTATTTCTTTAATTCACTGTTTCAAATTTGTATTTAAAATTAATGAACTTCATTATCTTTGTAGATAGAAGAAATGTATGTTCACTAATCTAATATATTCACCTTCCGTGTACTACTTACAGAGTATAGAGAAAGTATCGTATCACTGTTATGAAAATATCAGAAATTTTTTATTGTGGGTCCTTGATAAAAAAGTGGATCATTCTTGCTCCTAGGTAGTAAATTACTGCCTCCAATATGTTGTGTAGTCGGACTCCATGTTTTGTGGGTCATTGTCAAGGGTGCTCAAAAGAGGTAGAGAGAAGGGGTGTAGCTAGGGCAACTTGCCTCTTGCCCCAACTTAACTGGGGTCCCAATATTTTTATTTGTAATATAAAAAAATTAAATACTTTTAAATAAAATTAACCATATGTGTTATTTCTGCTGCATGGAAAGATGAATTCAGTTTACATATTGAGAAGGTGGGGATTGTTTGAAATGAACCCCATGGACCTATTGTTCCGTGCCCTTTGTTGTTTTTTTTCTGGGCATTCCTGGTCCTTGATAACAAAAGTTGGATGAAGGCAAAATGTACATCTGTCTGCCCATCCACCAGTCCCTCCTTCCCTCGGACCAACTGTGTGAACAACATTACCATTCATTCGATTTTCACCAAATTGATATCTCCTGATGGATCTGACTGATATTGCAGAGCATTGAATTTGAAGTGAATACAGTGAAACTTTTCTGAAAGACCACGCCTATTAAACAACTACTCCTCTCAATAACCAGTTTTTCATTAAACAGTCACTGAAAATATAAAACATATGTAAATCATAGCTCTGTTGATGGACTATCCCTGACTCTGACCTTTAACAACAATTTTCTTTATTTTCCCTATTAACAGTTCACCTTCAGGAAAATTAAAAAATATACAGTATACTGAAAAATACAATATACTCAAAATACAACTTCAAGTTAAATGCAGAGTCTTTTTTTCTTTTCTTTTCATGATGAAAGTGAGGAACTCTTGTATTATGCTCCACTCTTTGCTTGATTTGAGCGTAAGTTCTACCATATTTAATGTGGAGGTATCCTCACCCAAGGCTTCGTTAAGTTTTCTTCTCTGAGTATCCCATGCTACACATACAAATATTGAATAAATGGCATCATCTTCATATAGACAAAATATTTGTCAACTATTCTTTTAAATCTAAACTGATAAGATTTAAAGCAGCCGTGTCTGGAGAGCATGAGGGAAAGGCAGTATTTTACCTCCGAAGGGCTTCTGCTGAACCATGGCTTGATACGCCCACCTTCCTTTGGTGTCTGTATCCCACCCCATTTGCCCTTCTGCCAGGAGAGACGTCCGTGCCCTCTTCTTGGCGTCTTCTTTCGTCCTGCCCAGAGGTCCGTCACCAATGCGGTCTGTTAGCTTCACTTTGTCGTAGATCGCTTTCTGTTCTCTCGCCAACAGGATCTAGAGGAGGTCCGCTTGCCAGGACTTCTACTGAGACTGAGCAGTAGGCTGACCCCAGGAGAGATGGCTCAACTGAAGTTCTGCAGTTCCTCTGACTGGGAAGTTCTAGGTTCGAGCCCCATTGGTGGCAGGATTTCTGAGGTCGAATTCAGTCACTGACTGGAGGAGAATTCTAGTGGGTGGCTGCTCTGATCGGTAGTTTTCTGTGGTTTCTCCGATCAATACCAGATGAATGGCAGAGCAGTGCTAAAGTACCCACAGAAGATTACATTTCGCACTCTGCAGTTTTGATTCTAAGTTGATTTCTGTTCTGGTTGATGCTTGCTTTTTGTATTAATTATAATTATCATATTTTATTGCAATTTTCAAATTCCAAGAAGTACCTGCATGTTTTAGAGAAGAGTTATATCTACTCTTATACCTGCATAGTGAAAATACACCTCTCATTGCTCTTAAAATCTATTTTTGGAGTTAAAACTTGCTTCACCCAGAAAATATTGCATTTAATAGTATTTGATTTAATACTACTACATTTATTATCCACGTTTGTACATATCCTAATGGCCACCTGCACCTGTGCACTATTTTGTATTGTGTTCCTGGTGCACTACAGAGTGGCTCCTACACTTGCATCTGCAATCCTGGTTGGATGGGACACAACTGTGACACACGCTGTTGTGCTGATGTTGGGGACTGTGTTGAAGGCAGCATCCTTTGTGATTGTGGGACAGGTATGGTTCCATGCACTGTTATTAATGATAAGCTAAGATGGAAAATTTAACTTATTCAGTTGGTATTTTTGACAAACTTTTAAGCAAAATTAAATATGGGATTTTTTTTTATTAATAAGAAAAAAATTGAAAAATGTTAAAATTAATGTCCAATAAAGTGGTCTCTATGTTCCTTATGCATTACGACTGTGCTCGTACAGAATTTGGAGGGTTATTATTTGCTGCACCTTAGGTGGTTGCCAAATGACCAAAACAATGTGAAATGGGATTTTTTAAGGTAGAGATAAAATATAATGCTTAAAATTCTCAGCAAATACAACATTATGTTTTCAATTTTTCTAAGAAATGAGTATTAAATTAAACTTGTTTTTCTGATTTTATATATGTACCTTTAAATAACCATACTTCAGATGGTCCAGAACTATTATATTATTAGTAAAAATAATGAAACCATATTTATTAAATTTCACAAGTGTACTCATTCATGCGACTGCTCACATTTTCTTCTATATTTTCCTTAATAATTTCAAAAAGGCTGTGTGTTTGCCAACCATCTTCGAGGTGATAGGATCTGTTGAAATACTATTGGTGTTCATTTTTATTGTGAGTACTCATAATTAGTGTCATGAAGATAATACTCATTTTGTAAACTAACATTACAAAATTAATTGTGAAATTGAGCAAAATCCCAGAATGTGATGCAAATATTAAAAAAGTGAATTATTGAAAAAACTTTCAGAAAGTAATTTTGTTACCTAAATTATTTTAATTTGTATTTTTAATGATATGAAGAGGGGTGTACACAGTCATGAGTTTGTTTTTATTTTTAATGTTGCATTGTAACATCTCGGTAATGAAATAAATTATCAAATATATTCTGATGAAGTTTTCATTTTTAATTAATTCTATTAATTTTGTAATTTTTTCAAAATATTTTGTTGTATCTGTAATATGCCTATTTAGTTGAATGGAATATCATAAGGATTATAATACACTTGAATTTGTGATCTTGAATCTGATTCTATTCAATTAAGATATGAGTTTTCATTTCACCTCATAGTGCCTATTCAGTTATTCCTTTTTTAATTTCATTATTGCACTAGTAAATAACATCCACTGATCTCTGAACAAAGGACTTGGTTGAAGGAGAAAACAGTGGTGAAATGTCATATCTGCTGAGTTCTATTTTAATTCCTTTTGATTTCAGCTAAACTACAAATGTAGCCATATTAGTTTATCCTACGGATCCAATCCTTTCAGTTTTCTTCCTATAATTGGTTTGATGTCATAATTAACACAATTTATTATTAGGGGTATTTTCTCAAGAACTTCTTTGCATGACGTAAAACAAAATTATTATTGATAACTTATCCATAAAATGTATCTACATGACTATTAAATTCCAAGGAAATTTGCATAGTAACATGGAAATAGTGCAAACATGTTTGATTCAATAATATATTTAACATTTTTGAAAATTGTTAGTAAAAATAAACTTCTTCATAATTCTGTCTTCTCTTCTAACTTCAGTGTCTTTGTTTTTTTTGTGTTTGTGAAGGTGTTGGGTTGTGTTTCTTCTGGAAAGAAATTCTGTCTTGCATGGCTTTAATGTAAAATGTTTTGTTTTGTTAAAGATTGATGATTGATAGAGTGTACATTTTGTCATTTCACTCTTTTTTGCTATTTAGGGCCACAGTGTCAAGTGAGCAGAAATTTCTGTGTGCCAGATCCTTGCAGAAATGGTGGCATTTGTCAAAAACAATCAGGAGGATATACTTGCATTTGTGATCAAGGATTCACTGGTAAAAATTGTGATAGTGAACTCAATGCATGTTCATCAGCACCCTGTCAACATAATGGTCAGTGTGTTCCCCTTGAAAATGTCAATGCCTCCAGTGGCAGCTTTAAGTGTCAATGTGCACCAGGTAATTGTTCTGCAATATATTATATTAATTTATGAAATATTATGTGCATTCTATTCTAGAGTGCTTAGTTGTACAGAGAAAGATGATTCATTTGATATTTCTTCAACAATGTAATTATGGCTCTTTATATATATATATCATTTTAGATTACACAGGAAGATTGTGTGAAACCAGTATTACGACATGTGCAAACATAACTTGTCCAACACCAAAAAGGTGTATTGACTTGGCAAATGGACCTGAATGTCAATGCCCTAGTGGTTTCACAGGTAATGGTTTGAAGTAAATTAGTTTTAAGTATAGCTAAACCAAATTAAAGTTTGAAATATATCTCGACCATTAATCACAATTTAAGAATAAATTGCTAACTCTCATTTAGTGATTAAAAACACAAATTGTATCGAAACATTTTGACAAAGGTTCATTATTGTATATCACATACTAATTTTACTTAGGAAATGATACTGGTCAATAACATTTCATCTTTTCCACAGGTCCAATGTGTCGTGAAAAAGTAGTTGGATCATGTCCTAATGAACTATGCAACAATGGAATATGTAGTGGCACCCTTGGTACAAAAAAATTAATTTTCTATTGCTTTTGTAAAAATAATGATTAGTGTTACTACATTTGCTAACCATACTCTGTATTTTTCCATTCAGATGATTATCAATGTTTTTGCAAACCGGGTTTCTCAGGAGATCACTGTACTATTGACATAGATGAATGTTTGTCAATGCCCTGTAAAAATAATGCAACTTGTCTGAACCAAATAAATGGATATAACTGCACATGTACAATTGGATTTACTGGTAATTTAACAAGTTTTCTTTATTGATAATATTTTTAATGTATTTACTCTATCTTGCATGAAGTGTAGTAAATCATCAAATATAATAATAGTAATATTATTATTATTATTATTTTGTTTATTCTCAAAGTTTATTATTATTATTATTATTATTATTATTATTATTATTATTATTATTATGATCATGATGATGATGATGTACATTGACAAGGTATATTATAACAAATGTATGTTGATGAAGTTGATATTAAACAGGTATCCACAAACAGTCCTGGGAGAAGAAAGGAAGGTTTTGGGCTGGTTTTCTAATTCTCTTCTTGTAGAGTATAATGGGTCATGTGAATAAAAGTTGAACATAGATGTTAATGAAGGTTGTTTGCTTGTCTTGTGTTTGAATGTTAGAAATGTTGTTTAGATGCAAATTACCAGTTAAAAAAAAAAGTAGATAAGAGGAAAATGCTATATACTTTTAAAGGTTTTTTGAATTTTCCGAGTTTACAGGCCAGTTTAATATTTTATAATTTTTGCTGATAATAATTGTTTACATAGTTATTGTTTTGTTTTTAGGTATTTTTAAGTACTCAATTATTAAATATTTGTTTGGCTTTTATTATTACTTTTTAAGTATTGCTGTGTATTATTCGTAGTAATTTACTTTTTTTGATGGAGCAAGAACTATTTTTTGTGGGGATGTGTACTTGTCTTTTTTTATTTCATGAAATATTTATTCCATTTGTAATTCAGGTTTCCTGCTTTGTCTGTTGTTTGTTTTTGTTGTTATGAAGTTTTAAAATATTGTTGTATTGTATTAAAAAAAATTATAAACATTAGATTGGTGCCAGAAATTTCAGAATTCACTAAATTTGTATCATTACATAACGGTGAAAGGTGTTTGTTAACTTTTTTGAATTGTTTTTCTTAGTCTTCTGTATTGAGTTGATTTTCAGTAGGGCCGTATATTTATTTGAAGGGAGAATTTATGCATTATGACTGCTAAGGCCTGTATACTTGATAGAGACTGTGATTTTGTTTCGCGAAAAGGATTTGGTTTGCTGACTGTTCTTGATTTATCTGGTTGATGCAATGATTACTCCATTAAGTTAAGATTACAGAAGTGTAGTAATATTATTATTACTCACGTAAGCAACTGAATTCTGTATTCTACGGTTCTTCCCATTTCTTTTCTTTTTCTTTCTTTGTTTCTTTCTTTCTTTCTTTTTTATTATTTTCTTTCCTTTCTTCTTCTTCTTCTTCTTCTTCTTCTTCTTCATCGTCTTTGTCTTCTTCGTCATCGTCTTAGTCTTCTTCATCTTCTTCATCTTTTCTTTTCATCTTCATCTTCTTTTCATCTTCATCTCCTTTTTCCTCTTCTTCTCAATCTTCTTCTTCTCCTCCCCTTTCTTCACCTCCTCCTCCTCTGTCATCTTCTTTTCCTTATTCTTCTGCTCTGCCTTCGTTTTCTTCCTTTTCTCCCTTTTCTCATCCCTGACTTCTTCCTGACTCTGTATCTTCTCTTTTCTGCACCTCTTTAAACTTTTCCATTTCCTCCTCCTCCAATTTGTCTTTCTTCCTTTCCTCCACATTCTTCCCTACATTCTTCAATCTCTTTCTTCTCCACTTCCTTTTAATCCTTTTCCCCTTCTCATCTTTACTGATCTCATCCTGCTTTTCCTTCCCTTCCTCTTTCATCTTCTTGTTCACCTAGTTCTTTTCTTTTACCCTTTACCTTCTTTTTCTCCTCCTTTTTTGTTTTCTCATCCTTCTACCTTTTCTTTTTCTTTTCTTTGTCTTTTTCTCTTTCTTCTTCACCTTTTTCTGATCTGTCTAGTTCTTTTCTTCCTCGTCCCTCTTCTACTCTTTTCTCTTGTCTCTCTTTCTTATCTTTCTTCCTTTTCTCATTCATTCCTTCTCTTTCTTTATTTCCATGCTCTCCTTTTTCTTCAACTCTATCTTCTCCTTCTCCAAATCCTTCGTCTTCTCCAATTCCTTCTTCTTCTTTCTTTCGTTCATCTTTTTTCATTTTCTTGTCCTCCATCTTCTTTACCCACTCTTCGCCTTTGTCTTATCCTTTACCTTTTTCTTTTCTTTTTGTTTTTTTTCCTCCCTGTCTTCTTCATCTCTTCCTTTTCCCCTTTTTTATATCTCTCCCTTCCTCTCTTCTTCTCCTACTCTCCCTCTCTCTATCACTCTAGGACAAGGATCGAAATGATTTTGAGGGTGGCCAAATGTTAGCTGCTTTTTGTAGCTTAGGTAAGAGTGGTATTTACAAGACCAGGGGACAGTGCAGGAGATGGAGCTGGCAAGGAAGGAATATCTATAGTATTTGTGGCTATCTTACATTCTATAGTGCAAATACATTACTTTGGTGGTTAGCTGTCTCTCTCATGTTTGTCTTCTAGTCACTGTCACACATCATGTTTGTCTCCTAGCACACTTAGTGCAAAGTTACTTGAATGTTGAGTGTTTACTGTAGGTTTATTGAAAAGAGGAGAGGACAGGTGGCACCAGAGTCAGAACGGTGGTAGACTTTGAAAATAATCTTAACCCACCCATAATGCATATTAGCCAGCTGGTATCAAATGAAGACAATGATAAGTGAATTGTGTTTTTGTTAGCATTATTAATTTCAATGTTCCAAAATATGTTAAGTGTAAAAATGTCATATTGCAATGTAAAATTATTGGTAATGTTTGTCTTATAGGGAGAAACTGTGATGACAATATAAATGAATGTGAAAATGAACCTTGTGAGGGTGGTTCAACATGCATTGATTTAATTGGTTCTTATAGATGTGTTTGTTTACCTGGCTTAACTGGAGATAACTGTCAAATAAATATTGATGATTGTGAGGTAAGAGTTTTAAATATACAAATGTTGCATTTGAAATGGAGAACTTTGAATACTGAAGAAAATTAATGTACTTTTTCCCTTAGTCTGCCCCTTGCCAAAACCATGGAATATGCAATGATGGAATTAATAGTTTTCAATGTAACTGTACCAATACTGGATTTGATGGTGATTTCTGTGAACGTAATGTTGATGACTGTGCATCTAATCCCTGCTTTCATGGAGCCACTTGTGTAGACATGATTAATAATTACACTTGTCAGTGTAACCCTGGATATGAAGGTATCTTTTCAATTACACCATAAGGAATTCTTACATATTTGTTTTGTACAGAAATTGTAAAATAAATGTTATTGCAGAATCTCAGATTTTATATTCACTTAAGCATGTATGTTTTTTTTAATTGTTTTGTTTTAATAATTAGGAAGGAACTGTGAGATTGACATTCCTGAATGTGATAGTTCTCCTTGCCAAAATGGTGGAACGTGTCAAGAATATTCAAAATTATATGCTGAAAATCCTGAATGGAATTTTCAAAATGCTAGTGGGTAAGGATTCTATGAAAATCTCACTTGAAGTTGAAAAAACTCCTACATTCCTTATTATTGTAAAATGGGATGACATCAGACACTTTTTGCGGTTATATTTTAAAAAGTTTTTTTATGGTCAAACATTTTCAATTATTTCTTGTAATATCAGTATCTTCAGAATTCTAGGGGTGTAATTCAATAATGTCTTGTGATATGCAATGAAAACTAAATTTTTTAAAAAGACAATATCATCATCTGCTGTCATCATGTTTGGGGTGACTGGACACACATATATTTCTTTAATATGCACATTTATTTATATTTTGATTTGACAACCAACTGACCATAGCTTCTGTCACAGTTGTTCATGGATCATTAGAATTGTAGTTGCTCCTAACTAGTGATCAGTGAGGTTACTTTTATCTTCATGCCATTAGCCAAAGTCACCACACCCCTGTTGTTTTTTCACATAACTGAAACCAGGCTCGACTGCTTGAATAATATTTAGATAACCAAAGCATGTTAACTGGAAGAGATTATAACTAAACCAATTATTGCATGTCACAAGTACAATTATCAACTCCCCTGAACTCTGTAGATAAAAGTATTCACAGAGCAGAAATAACAAAAAAATTACACACTTTTTTGTCATCATATGCAAGTTAAGTAAGAAAACGGTTTCAATGAATCCAGGAAATACAGATCATTGTCTGTAGAATAAGCTAGCTCAATTTGGAGGTAATTATTTCTAGCACTAAGCTACAGTACTGTTTCATACCCAGAGTACCTTGTGTCCAAAATCACCTTATGTGAATTCTATTCCACAGTATGGCAAAAAATCATTATTAAAAAAAACAACAACAAAAAACAGAATATATTTTTATTTAATTTGGGGGGATGTATTAGTAAGAAACAGTTTCCATGTTCTATTTTTACATTAATCACATGTACACAGACCTAGATATTTTGGAATTATTACAGCACATAACTATTCATAATGATTTTATTTTTTAAGTTAATTTTAATTGTGTTCATTCATACATACTTATTTGTAACATTTGTGTGATTTTATGGATGTTCAGTTTCTGTTGTCAAAATTTTCTCATCTATATTAATTTAGGATGCCTTTTTATATTAATAATATAATTGTACACATGTATATTTAAATATTAAGCAGTGTAATGTATGTTTCACTTTGTTAATAAGTTAATTCCCAGAACAGTTAACTAGTTTATCTTGATTTGCTTTGTTATGAGATATAATAAGTTTTTAAATATGTTTTATTTCAAATATTAAATAATGCTATAAATTTCTTCTGGTTAATTTTTTAGCTAGTTAATTTGTTAATTTTATTAATTACAATATTCAGAGACAGTAAAAAGACAAGTTTCTGAAAATTTGAATGGGAAAAGAAAACAAGTTTTTGATTTATATCTGGGAGAAGAAAATTGATGTACACAATGATTTAAATTGGTTTAAATTATCACCATCCTTTGCTAATTATAATAAATTTAAAGTTGATCTTAAGTTAATGTAATTTATATCACGCTTATGATTCCAATAACTTCTTGAGACTAAAGTGAATGTTCTCATGTCAGGTTCACATGCTCATGCCTAGAAGGTACCACTGGAGACAGATGTTCAGAAAATATTGATGAATGTAATAGCAATCCATGTTTACATGGAAAGTGTGAAGATAAGTTAAATGCCTTCTTCTGTGTGTGTGAAGAAGGATATGAAGGCGAACAATGTGAAATTCCCATCAATGAATGTGAGAGATATGAACCATGTGGTTCACATGGAAACTGCACTGATCTAGAACCCGGTTACACATGTAACTGTGATCCAAAATATGGAGGTCAAAATTGTTCAGTAGAACTTACAGGATGTAGAGATCATCCTTGTCATAACAATGGGACATGTACACCATATTTAGAAGATGAATCTCAGCATAAGTTCAATTGTTCTTGTTCGAAAGGATTTCATGGAGACACTTGCCAAACGGTGTGTATTAGATATTGTTTTTAATTGTCTTATCCCTCAATGTATTGCTTATTGATGAAATAGATGACAATTGAACTATGTGATTTAGTTAAAAAGTAGTGTGTTTCATAAAAGATGTAGAAATTAATTCATTACCCAGTGTTAAGAAGAAGAATTTTTTGGTCATGTTTTAGATCACAACAATATCACTGACAGAATCATCCCGTATGGAGATACAAACTGAGCGTGAGGAAGGCTATGACATACAATTTATTTTCAAAACAACTCTACCAAATTGTCTATTAGCAAGTGGAAGAGGTCTTACATATTACACTCTTGAGTTGTTGGGAGGACGATTGAACCTGCAAACCAGCCTGCTATTAAATAAATGGGAAGGAGTATTTATAGGAGCAGATCTGAACAATGGCAGCTGGCAGAGAGCTTTTCTTCAAATCAATACAACTCATGTTGTTCTTGCTGCAGATCAAGAACAAACAATCCATCCAATCCTCCCCACTGAAACTACAAATACTTCATATACTAGTTTCAATCAAACTTTCATTGGCTATACAGCTTTTCAAGAACTACGCTCAATTGTTCGTAGCCCTACCGTGTTTGTTGGATGTATGGAAGACTTGGTTATAAATGGGCAGTGGATTACTCCCATTGATATTCCACAAACAGATATAATTGAAAATGTATCAACTGGCTGTCAAAGAGAACCTCAATGCCATCCAAACCCTTGCAATAGTGGAGGAATATGCACTGACAAGTGGATTGATTTCTCTTGTGCCTGTGTTCGACCCTTCTTGGGTCACAAATGTCAATACAGTAAGTTGGATATTGTAGAGTTTTTAAATAATATTTTCATTTTCTCTCTCTTTCTCTCTCTCTTCTCCTCTCCCTCTCCCCCTCTCTCTCTCTCTCTCTTTTATCCAGATATTTTGCAAATGGTGAGTTCATTCTTTTCATAAGTATATTTCCTTGCATGAACATGCATGAATTCCCATTGATATGTGTGCATGTGTGTGTTTGTATAAAATAGGCCTTAATAGGGATGTATTAATTCCTGTTACCTCTCTTAGTAATAAAACATTTTCGGAACTGATATTCTTAAGGCTAAGCAGGGCTGTAACTACAGAGTTGGAGTTCTTGAGCTATCACTTGATAATGTGGTTTTCTCTTTATTGTTTCTCTTGATCTCAATAATAATTTGGAGAGAAGGTTTATTACCGTTATTAAGAAAATTTTATACTCTTTCATCAAATAGAAAATATGTTTGTAAATGTCTGATTGCTGTGCTGTATATTTCATTTTATTCTTGTTCAATTCTCTTAAGGAGTAAAAGTATAAATATTACTAGCAAAGTTTAAATTCTCAATTTTTAAAAGAAAATATCTGAAATAACTTGTGGTGCTACAACAGCACATATTCTCTCAAATTCATAAGACGTACATATTATAATATTGTAACTCCTACCTAGAGGCCTAGAGATTTTATTTGCTACCTTCTTTTATTTGGAAAAATTGATTTAAATATTTATTTGTTGGAATAATGTAATTATTTAAAAATAATATTGTATAGTATTATATTTACACTAAGGTGGTCCTTATTTTGAAAATGTCCCAATGTATTCATTGCCCCCTCTAAATCAAAAATAGAGGCCAAAAAACTAATTATGACGAAAAAATGGAGAAAAAAATAATAATAAACTGTCCGCCATGCAGGTTGAATTTTAAATCAGATTGAATATGGGTTTTTCATTTTTTTTAGGTTAAACCCAACACTGGGCACTTGATTTCCATCGGTTCAAGGTGAAACACTAATGTAATTAATGCTCACAAAAACTTTGTGTACATTAGTGTTTAAGTTAATAAATAAAAATTGTAAAAAAACAATTTTCACAGATATTAATTTCAAAAACCATTACACACATTAAAATTTGATATTTATGTAAAATCATGAAATAATTATTAGTTATAAAATATCACTAATATATCATTTTTAATTTAAAATGTTTATTGACAAGGGCCATTTATGTCAAAATACCAATATTTATTTTGAAATTAATAATATCTCTCCTTAGGATAATTCAAAAAACATTTAAGAGTTTAATTGAAATTAAATTGACATGTAATTGACAATATTAAAGTATTTAAAAAGATTTGACAGTTGTCATTTAGCAAAAATGACTTATATAATTTTTTTATGACAAACCTTTACTATATTTTTATTTAAATACAAAAATAAAAAGATAGTTTTAGTTGTCAAAATATTAATTTCTATTGGCAGCTTTTTTGACAGTTGTCATGAGTCAAAACCTGTTTTTGACATCATATTTGAATTTAACGGTATTGAAACATTTAATTAAGACTATTTTCCGAATTGAGAAAATGGGAAAAACTAAAAATTTGGTCAAAAATTTCATTGACACCTTAATTGACAATTGTTAATAATTTGTACATCACATTTTCATTTCATGTTTTTCACAGATCTGACAGCTGCTACATTTGGTAATGAAGGAGCTACAGAGGGTATTGTGGAAGTAACATTGACCAACACTTCCCGAGTGGCTGTTAATTCTGTTATGGACATATCAATGTTTGTCCGCACTCGCATGGAAAAAGGTGCAATTTTCTATATGACTTCTAATTCTCCTCAAGAGACTGTAATTGCAGCCCAGGTTGAAAGTGGTCAACTTTCTGTTTACATTTTATTGAATCGTTCACTGGAATATTACGTTGTTAGTGGTGTTCACTTGGCAAATGGTCAGAGTCATTTAATTCAGGTAGGAAGGCATCAGTTATATCTGAAATTTAAAAAAATATTTTTTTTTGTATTAGTTAAGCTAATGAGATAATGTATTAATTTTAAAATTCTTATTTTAGATTATACGAAATGTAACATTAATGCAAGTCAAAATAAATGGCACCGAATTTTTTCGGAAAACAATTACAGCAAGTGGTGCAATTGATGTTCAAAAATTGTATCTTGGAGGTTTTCCCCAACATGCACACAACAAAAAAAATAAGCGTCAAGCTAGTGAAACTTCACAAAATAATGTAATGTGTGATGTTTGTTACTTTAAAGGTGTTATTCAAGATGTCCAGGTAAATCATAAATAAATATATTCAGTTGTATGTTTTTGTTTGAAAAACAGGTCTGTTTAATTCCCTTATAAATCCTCATTATTTATTTTCTTTTAACATTTAGTAATTTATGTCAAATTCAGGTGTATTGTAGTTTTATAGCAAATCGTAAAGTATATCTGTTGTGAATTAAGTTATATTCTTCATAATTTACTTTTCACTACTGTGTTGAAAGTTAAACTTCCCTTCTCAGGTCACTAATGGTACAAGAACAATGGTAGTTGAATTTTTTCCTCTGACTGTGCCTGATTTGACAATTCCTCCAAAATTTGGTGAAGTTTATTTTGATGAAAATGCTGTTTTGAAAGGTGTTGTATCTGATGATACATGCCGTGTCAATCCATGCATACATGAGGGAATATGTGAAGTCACATGGAATGACTTTGAGTAAGTAATAATTTAAAGCAATTAAAATATTTAAATAGTTATGATTTCTCCATTTTGTCTTCAAATATTTTCTAATTTCAGGTGTAAATGTAAACGAGGTTACAAGGGAAAGAGGTGTGAAGAAATGGAATTTTGTCAGTTGCAAGATTGTCCTGATGGAAGTTCATGTCGCAATCTAGAAAATGGATACGAGTGTGTTGCGAATGTAACTTTCAATGGAAATAATAATTCATTGCATTACACTCTTAATAATTTTTATGATGGATCAAGTTCATACATGAATAATATAACTCTGACCTATCGCAGTAAATTTGGTAGGTACATCATCTTTATTTTATGAGTTTATATAATATTAATCCTATATAGTATACAATAAAGCCATTACTGGGCCTACTTTACTGGGTGATAGTGTATCCAGCCATTACTCATGAACTTGTTTCAAAATCAAATATTTATTAAATTATTATGTATCGTAATGGGAGTGTTAATTTTGCTCTTAGAATTAAAAAAAAATGTATTGTTGCAGGTGGTACATTATTATACATTACATCCTCAAATAGTGTTGAAGAATTTTTCTCTATCTCAGTGCAAAAAGATGAAATTACAGTTAGCTGGAGATTGTATGTTGGAGATAAACAACTAACAGAATATTTCAAAAAAGATGAGCCTGATGGCGAGTGGACAATCGTAGTTTTCAAGATGGAAAATGATCAATTAATTGGTGGCTTTCAAGGTGAGCTTTTGCTTTCGATGTAATAGTACCTTGAGTTATAGCTGAATAGTAATTATCTAGCTACCAACATCAGCAATGGCATGTATAAAGGCAATACCTTAGGGTACAAATGTACTGATGATTGGGAGGTTGCAAGTGTGATCCCAGCAAGGAGCCAGAAATGTACTTGATGTGTTTAACATCACCTCCTGCTGGAATCTGATTTATTGGCCAACTGCTCTGATCAGTGATTTCTGTAGTTTTCCTGTTCTCTTTTATGTGAATGCCAAAACACTACACTATACAATGACCATGAATGAAGATTCCTTCCCTTCATCATCATACTGGCAATTGTGATTAAATATTGTGATTGGTAGTCAATCAATTAAATGATACCTTATTTTACATGGTGAGGCTCAGGCTATAAGCCCTCCTCTTCCATCTGACCATGCAAATTTCTTGACACTCCCTTTGCCATCTAGCAGAGAAATAAGATATCACTTTGGCGATAAAACAGGCAATTTTAATTTAACTCAGAGACTTCTTTTAGGCATGAAGATCTTTTACTTGCAGTGAATCTACAACATAGGGGAGCAGGCTTTACTTCCCCCCCTCCTTTCTCGAAGGAAGGAGGAGTATGAAGGATTTTCACTCTGAAAAATCATGTTTGAACTCACAGGCTTAGGTACAACAATCTGTTATGCTAACCATTATACAACCGAAGCTGCATTGGTATAATGCTTTGTGAGAAAATTTGTTAGAACATTTCTCTGGAAATGCATTATTTGTAGCTCATTTTTGCTAAAAAATTTTTAAACTTTTGAAAACATTATGTAGAGATTTATTTTTAATATATAGTTTTGATATCCACAAATTTCAAAAACTTTCATAAAGAAGTTGCTTTAAAAGAATTGCAATGGTGCAAATTTAGAAAATTCAGTAATTTTAATTAACCTCTTGCCATTTGGTGTTAGTGCATTGTATTCCTCTATAAAAATTGTAATGAAAACAATAGGAGCCAGCTTTGAGAAAATCTTGTCTAAGTAATTTGGTAAAATTGACTCTTTTTTTTTTTTAAATTATTTGAATCTTGAACTCAACTGTACAACATATTTTGACTTCCTGGAAGTACTATTAAATGAACTTAAAACAAAGATATTGTTATTGATTCATTATCCGATAAAGAAATTAAATATTGTAAACTGCCATATTTCCATTTAGTCTTTTATTTCTATAGGAAAGATAAAACATATGGGGATTAAGCATTTATGCAAAATCTAACATAGGAGGTGAAGCAAATGCCAAATTCAATGATCAGAGATATTATAATATTGTTATAATATTACATCATAGATATTATATTATTATAGAAAAACATTGCATATTTAAAATAAAAGTCTATTAAGTAGTTATCAAAGTTAAAATAAATGGGTACATTGAAAGACACTTCCAAAGTATGAACTAAGAGTTACACTTACAAACTATGAACTTGAGACCAAAATTAGATTACACAATTTTGTTGCAAAATCCACATTATTATATAGTAGTGAAACATGAATTCTGAAACGGAGATAAAAAAATAATCGAAGCTAAGATACCTGAGATCAATTCTAAAAGTTCCAAAGGCAGTTAAGATAAAAAAAGAAAAGATCTGGTTAACACTTAAAGTTAAAAATATAATCTCAAAAATTGAAAGCTTCTGAAAGAAGTGGCAAGAACATACCAAAAGAATGAAGATAGAATGTTTCCCAAGAAGAGTTCTCAAATACGATCCAAGAGGAAGAAAGAGACCCTGGCAGACCAAGAAAGTGCTGTGAAGATCAAGATCACCTTGGAAGCGACTGAGGAGATATTGATTAAGCATATGAACAGTTTGAAAATGTCCCATAGGCTTCATGTACAGTACCTCCAAATTTTAAAGAATGTATTTCAAAATCTCAAAGCTTCGACTCTAGCCATATGGACAGCGGTAAAAGGCTGTCTCCCTTTAACATGCGCTTGAACCCCCCTAAATAATGATGTAATGCTTGCAACAAGATCCAACTCATGTTTTATTTTCTGGGGTACTTTACATGAAGCCTTCAGGATATTTTCAAATTTTTCTCAAAAATGACTCCAATTGTTTTTTTCCTTTGACCTTGGATAGTGAAAGGATGTTTAAAAAAATGGCCAAGTTCTCAGTTTCATTGAGGTATCTGAACTTTCTATAATTGCAAAAGTGCAACATTTTTTCAGTGTCTTCCTACAACTGAAGTATTGAAGATAGAAATTTTTCCTCTTGCAACTTACTGCCAAAAACAATTAAATGTTCATGATCGAATATAATAATAAGTTTACCCAGTAAATGGTTATGTTTGCCTCCTAAATATATTTACTTTTTATATTTACATCGGTGTTGGGTAAATCACCTCTTCCACACTCTATAAAGAAGGAAAATTTGGTGCAAAGGGATACATACATTCTAAAGGCTGAGTTCATGAAACTGGTTTAAACCTTAATACAATAGTTTTAGCAGTTCCTTTTTTGCACCTTTGTGTATGAATTTTCAGATTCTTTTTTCCCCCCTTTGAAGGCCATAATTTGCACCTTAATATCTTCTTCTTCTATGAAGGCGGAACCTGTTATTCTTTACACATCACCTTAATGATGAGTTGGGAGAAGTCGAGTTTTCAAACTATCTTTTTTTTTTGTTTTCCAAGTGTCTTAAATCTCTTGCTATTCTGTTGGCCTACTATTATCTGCCCTGGAAACGTGTTTATCCCTGCCTTTTCTTTTTATTCTTATGAATTAAACTATGTCCATCACTCCACATTCATTCCTTATGTATTGATTATTTAGTTTATCCCGCTGCCTGGAGCAAACGTTAGGTGGATTGAGTAGACTAACGATAGCTCTGCCGGTCCCAAGCCTGGGTAAAGGAGGCAGATCAGAATTGGCAGATCAGACTAGCAATCTACCTGCCGAAAAAGTGATATTGCTCACAAAACCACACCTTAAAATCCTTTCCCTAATGATAATTTTTATTAGGAATAACGCAGATAATTCAGGTAAAAATAATTAATTTTGTCATCAAGACAATTTTCTGGTGTATAGACGATTATTGATTTTATTTATTTCAACTAAGCTGTTAAAATTTGTTAAAAGTGAAAAAATTTCTCCAAAAGTTTCATCAAAATTAGGGGTTTGACTAATATTCAAGTAAATACAGTACATTAAAAAGATTAAAGAGCTGCACTACCTTTTGAACACTCTTTACACATGAGTAAGTATGTGTTATAACTTTTCTGATTTCTATTACTTAATTTCTGGTCTGAACATAAAGAAGTTGACAGATGGTAAATATAAGTGAATTAGTTTCATGAATGACTATGCTGTCCTCTTCTAAAGGGTATACATACATAAACAATGTGTGTTATTTATAAATCAGCCTTTCTTCTTTGTAGAATTATTCAATACATTTTCTACCCTTGTCTATTTGGTTCACTTTTTTTCTCCTTTAATTGAATGTGATGAATAACATATCATTTTGTGTGCATAATGTAATGTTTTTCCTTCTTTTTCCAATTTTATTACATTAATGTGATGGCTTGTAGCAAAGAATATGGTCTGCAAGGAGGCATATAATTATCACTGTTCAAAATATTTTTGAAAGACGGTCAAAACCTGTACTTTTGTTATAATTGACTGAGTTTTAATATTAATTGTACTTGCATTTTATATTAGATGCTGATGGCCACCTGAATCAGAAGATAAATATTAACTTTTCTTTGGATGCATGGAATACTCTCGTTCAGGGTGGGCATGCATACATTGGAGGTTTGTTCTCAACAAGCCCCATTCAGCACTCAACAGATGGCTTAGGTGTTTTAACTGTAAATACAGTTACTGAGTCAGTTTTTGCAACTCCAAGAACTCATTATACTTATGAAACAAGTTTAATAGATAGGCCATTCTCAGACATATCAACAAATTTTAAGGTATGTAAAAGACACTGATTTTTAAAAGTATGTTGTGACTTTTGACATGAGATGACTTAATTTTAATTACTGTCTCTTGCACAGGGCTGTATTGGAGAAACACGTATTGGCAACATTTTATTATCTTTTTTGACTCAAGCCCAATTAACAAGATCCAATTTGACAAACAAACACCAGTTTTCTTTGACTGACCCTGATTCTAGTTCCACTTTGGAATTAGGTTGTCTGCTGTGTTTTGATACAGAATGTCATAGTGGCGGTAAATGTAGCAATGCAACACAATTATACACTTGTGATTGTCCTGAAGGTTACACAGGTGATTATTGTGAAATAAATATAAATGAATGTGAGAACAATACTTGCCAAAACAATGCAACATGCCTGGATGGTATAAATAATTATACTTGCCAGTGTGCACCTGGTTACACAGGTGATATGTGAGTATATTTTTTCGAGTTTTGTTTCTTCTTTATTTTTCTTTTTGCCCTCTCAAGAATGTGTTGGTAAATTCAGTGAAAAATTTTGTATTATTTTTTTTATTTTTGTAGGTGTGAAATTGATATAAATGAATGTGAATCTAGCCCTTGTCAGAATCAAGGCACTTGTGTCAATCAAGTGAGTTATTTTGAATGTGAATGTCTTGAAGAATTTACTGGTCCCAAATGTGAATTTCCCAGAGAACTCACTTGTGCTAACCTACCTTGTAAGAAAGGATCAACTTGTAAGGACGTGAAAAGTAAGTTTATATTTTTTTATTATATTTAATATGAATTTGGAGCAATTGGGTTGAAGTATTTTCTTTATTGTTAGCTATAAAATTCTCCTCTTTGAAACCTAATCTTTAATTATAAAGATGCATTAGCAGGACCAAATTCTTGAATATTTTTGATAATTAACACAACTTTTTAAACTAAAGTTTATTTAAAAGCAGTTTTAGAAAGTTATCTTTTACGTAAGATTCTTATATCTTTTGCCCTGACAACGTTACATAGATACCACCTTAGTTATTAAATAATCTAAGAAAATGCAATACCCTCCCATATTTAACATTTTAAGCCAGTTCCTTACTATTGTATATCTTTTCTAATCAAACAGCTAATAATGGCTTAAGACAGCAAGTCGGCAAGTTGGTTTTCAATATCCACTTTTGAAGTGTTAATTTCTCCAGATGTTACTAATTCTCAAAGAAGAAAATGTTTGACATAGATGTGTTTTATTCTATGATGATACTCTGAGTTTTGCGCTAGATGAGTTACAGCTTTGTTGTCTACTAATACATTTGCTTTTGTATGTTGTAATTGATAGAGTTCATTTGAGAATTGTTATTGGATTCGATAATCTCTCTAGTTGTTTCTCTAGCTGCAACAGTCTTGGCCTCAGTAGTGAAGATGCCAAAAGAATGTTGTCGTCATTTCTAAATAGTCATATCAGTGCTTGCACCACACTAAGGAGAAGAGCTATACATATTTGAATTTTGAGATAATAAAATGAAAGTAAGGGTGGAAAAATATTGCATTCTAAAGTTTAGGTATATTTCATCACTGCATTTAGTATTACTACGTTTTAGAAGAAAAAAGTAACTACAACAAATAAAAACAATGTATTAGTATATGATTGAATCTTTTCCAACATTACAATAGGTACCACCTTACACGATTACCAAACAACCACCTTATACGATTAATTATGTAATGACATTCATATAGATAATCACAGGTACATATAATATGAAAATATCAAGGAGATACAAGGTGAGAAATTAAGAGCTTTGAAAACAATATACTCTTAGCAAAAATTGTAGTTTGAGAAATTGATAATATTCTTTCCTTTTAACATTTTCCACATTTCTCCTTTTTACTTATTTGTTAATATTTTGAAAGTATTATGAATGTCTATTTTTTGTCCTTTGATCATTTAACTCTTGTTTCTTTACAACAAATACTAATGTTTGTTTTTCAGAAAGTGTATTTTGAGCATTCTCACATCTTGTATAACTGTGTTTGCTTCAATATTTCACTACAGATACTTTAGTTTTTGGTAATAAGAGAAACAAATATAATGTATCTGAGAAGTGAGGATGATAAAATGATATTTTTCAGATCCTAAAACAGGTGACAATTTTACGTGTATCTGTGCTGAAGGATTTGAAGGCCCACGTTGTGATCAGGCGTACTGCAGCATTACTCCTTGTGAACATGGAATGTGTAATGACACTCTAGAAGTAAGTTGACTTCTCATTATTTTAATGGATTAGGCCAATTTACATTTATTGCAGGGAGTAATATTGAAAAATTTAATTCTGCAGGTTCCACTTTGTCAATGTTTTCTTGGATACGAAGGACGATTCTGTGAAACAAACATAAATGAGTGTGCAAGTAATCCTTGTCATAAAGGGAAATGTCTTGATGGAATAAATACATATTGGTGCAACTGCAGTGGAACGGGTAAGGGAGCATTTGATAACTGAAAGCCAATAATGTTGCATTGATTCTATCATGTCATGTTTTTTTATGCTGGTTGAAAAAGAAAATAATTCTTTACCAATTTTGTTTCAGGTTATGAAGGAGTTTCATGTGAAAAGGATATTGATGAATGCTCACTGTTAGAAAATATTAATCAGTGTGGTCCCAATGGTTATTGTGTAAATTACCCTGGGGGATACATGTGTAATTGTACAGATGAAACAGTTTGTGGTAATACTTGTGGTCTACGGAATCCATGTCTAGTGAGTTTTCTCAATCAATTCAAAATCTTCAGTAATGCCATATTTATTTAAAGGACTTGTGCTCTAAACAGGATAATTTGAAGTGTATTTACATTAAAATAGGATTTCACTGAACCATTAGTTATCAGTCTATTAAATTTTCTGTGAATAAGAAAATTATCTTGGAAAGCAAAAAACTTCCTATATAGACGTAACCAGTATTCAAAATGGTACTTTTAAGTTAATGAAAAATTTGCCTACAATTTGTAGGAAAATATTTGAAATTACTAGTGTTTAATAGAACAATTTGTAAAATATAAGGGATGTATGTAGAATATTAACACCAATTTTATTCACAACACAGACAGAACACTTGATGCAAGTTGTTATGGAGAAAGCATTTTTGCTATTGGTTTAAGGAATAAATAATTCTTGATGTTAAGGGTGGTAATCATAAACAATTTAGCTAGATTAAGGAATCAAGAAATGTGCAATTTTTTCTCTCATGTTTAATTACTCCAATCCAAAACTTTTTTCTGAAGAAAACTAAATATTTCTTATAAAGCAGTCACTCTAAAATGTACATTTACCGTTTCATTCCTCCAGCCATTTTACGCATCAAAAATGCTTTTCTTTAATAACACAGCAAAAATAATTTGTCCATTATTACACATTCCTTGACAGTCACTAATCTAATTCTCTATATATTTCAAGGATGAACCTTGTCTAAATGATGGACATTGTATACCAAAATGTACAGTTGTTCCTGATTATGAATGTGATTGTACTGGTACTGGTCACACAGGGGTTAATTGCACGCAGGTGAGTGTTCTTATTCTTTCCACAAAATTAATGCAGTGAAACTCTACAATCCTGATATAACTATATAATTATTAGCATGTGTTATATCAGCAAGCATTATATCAATCTACAAAAGCCGTGAGTTCAGAATTAAGAAGAAATGTGTTGAATTATTTTATAAACATTTTCCTTTCATGGTGTATTTTTCTTTTCATTATTAACCTTTTTTATTTCATATCAACGTATATCTGTTAACAAAACCCATATCACGCATGCAGCATGTGCAGAGAACTTTTTTAGAAGGGTTTTAATTAATTTTTTCTTTCATTTATGCAACAAAAATTTTATTTTTATCAAATTTAACAGGTGGAAGCAGCCAAAGGCAGCAGCCCTATGGATATAGCTGTTATTGTTGCTCCTATTGTTGCTATCTTTTGTTTATTTATGGGCATTGGAATCACTATATTCATAAGCATGGCCAGAAAGAAACGTGCAACTCGGGGAACTTATAGTCCAAGCCAGCAAGAATACTGCAATCCCCGAGTGGAACTGGATAATGTAATGAAACCACCTCCAGAAGAAAGACTTATATGAGTTTCAAGGACTGAACATGTAAAATAAATAAAAATCCACTGAAAATACCTGCCTTTTGAATAGTAGTTTAGAATGTGTTAATGTTTTGGGATATTTAAATACTCCCAAGACATTATAATCATATGAGATTTTATATGAACAAATAAATGGAGAATGAATAATGAGTTTTATCATTATTTTACATTCTCTTTATTACTTCAAAATTTTGTTTTACCTGTAAATTAGAATTGTAACTTGTAATTTATTTTAATGTACATGAATACACAGAAAGGGACTCAGCCATATTCATTCTGTCTGCTTCACAGCTCATGACTTTCACTTAATTTCTCTTAAAAAGAAGTACGACTCACTGTTAGATAATTGCCATTGACTTACAAGTGGGGTGTTTTTTTGAATTTTAAAACTTAACTATAATACAATTTAAACAATTTATATACACTAAATAATGGCATCAGGACACTCATATAAGCTTGCAAAAATGCAAAGGTAAGAAACATAAGGGATTTTTTTAATAAAATAAGAATATGGACTAATATCTAAAAAGCAAAGGCATTTGCATAGAAATCAAATGCTTTCAATTTAATTACACAAATTTGAGTCCTATTCTTGTTTCAATCAAAATGTATCAACTTTGTATGATCACGTTGAAGTGGATATATACTAAGGTTTTTGAACTTGTTTAGTTTACATTGCGCTTTTGTTAATTACCTTTGCTGGGTTCAGAGAATGTGTATTCATTCCCAAATGTTTTTCTATGTGTTGTTCTCATTTTTCTCTATTTGTGAAGTTTAATCTTTCTTTATATCCCCCTTATTGACTTCAGACTGTTTAGAGCAATCTTGAAAAAATTGCATTGGAATGTATCTATTTTTGCAGAATGTTCTGATGTTTAAACATTTTAATCATGGTAACCTTACTTAATCATTGTAACCATAGAATTGAAAATTTTGGACAAGATTAAGTTCAGCATGACTGCAACTAAAACAAATGACAGAATACAAGTGCCTTAATATGGTCCATCCATTAAAGCAATTACTGGATACTGACACTTTCTCTATTATTGACATTCATTCCTCATAACTAGGAAGCGGATTTTAATGACCATATATACATATACAAATATATTTATATTTTTTTCAATTTAAAATAATGCTTTTAGTATAGATATTAATTTTACGTTTTAATAAAAGGAAATTATCCGCTTTTTTACAACATTTTTTGTTGAGTTCGACTAACAAGTAATTTTTAACCTTTTCCATAATTTTAAAAGAATTTTTTGCTTCAAATAATATTTAAAGAAGTCTCAATGACAGCAGTAAGATATCTTTTGCTGTAAGATAGCTTCAGTTGTTCAAACGAACAATTCAAGCTGAACTTCACTTGAACTAATTTTAATGAATTTTTGGTCATTTTTCTTTTCTTTTAGGCCATTTTTACAATCATTTCAGAGCATTTCCGGCAATGTTTCAGGTCATGCAAATCCACTCCCTACTCATAACCATTCAATTTATGACAGACTTATTTATTTTTTTCTTCCAGACATGACTTGTAATGTTCTTATTTTCATAAAACAATCTGAATATTGATAATTGTCATTCTACAGTTATGTACCTAACATTCCATTAGTATTAATGTAGGTTTGACATAACATGACATGCCTGCTTTGTATTCTTTAGAGAACAATCATGTACCTCTCTCTTACTACTATAAACTGTGTACAGATTGTTTCATTGTATTTTTGTATCATTATTACTTTAGAAATAGAGTACATACATCTATGCAATATATAACTGCAAAAGTAAGTAGGTGTTACTTATTTCATGTGTAAATGTATGTGCAGACATTGATTCATGAATGGAACATTATCTGTAAAGACGTAAATTTATATGTACACACACACATGTATATTTACATATAAATTCATTTTTACTGTATACACTTCTATATTAAAAATGTGTTTTTATAATTTTTTTCTTCGTAAGTTTTTCCTACAACACTAAGGAAATTTGTTAATAAAATTAGTTATTTTAAAGTAGCCATAGATATTTCTACCAAAGAGTGTTATTATCTAATAGAGCTGTGCAACAAAAGCCGTCCAAGAATGAAAATGCCTTGAATGTTTGTTTATAAAAATGTGTGAGTGTGAGTGTTTAACCAACAGTTGTTATGATTCCCAATAGCATCTAGTAGTATCAGTCATATTATTTCAAATATCTTGCAGTGTAATATATGCTTATACTATCTTCCTGATTATATGTTTCCAATCATTGTGCTAAAGTTGTCACTGGTTTGTTAAAAATTCTGTGATCATTTATTGTAATAAAAAGAAAAATCATTATTTTATTGTTGATTGTAAATGCCAAAATTAAAGGTTCCTTTTTGTAACAAAGTAATGGTCTTGCCAATCAACAATGAGGGGTATTTGTGGTTTTTGAAGACTTCACTATTTGGTGAATTTGGTACGATCACAAATCATTCTTTAGAATAATGAATACATAATCAGTGCTTTTCAGTTGTTGTTGTTATTCATTATTGTAATGACTGCAATTTTTGCACATTCAATTTAAAAAAAAAAATTAAAATGCCACCCATCCTGTCCACCAAAGACTTCCCAATTGTTATATTCATAAAATATAAAAAATGTAATGGCTTTTTAAAGAATAAAATGAGAAAAAAATGAGTTGTTTAAATTTCTTCCTACAAGAGAAAAATTAACCCAATATTTTAAAGCAAAATGAAATTATAGAAAAAAATTGATAATGGTTTGATCTTTACCCATCCTCTCTAAATATAACAGAGGATGGATTATTGGATGGATGGATATAACAGAGGATTGACAATTTATAACAAAACATCGGCATTCAAGTTTAAGCGTGCCACTACTGGATAGGAATTTACTCATCAGTAATCAATCAGATTTAAGACACACACGCACACTTGCAGAATATGATATAGGAACAGATTACGGCAACATACATTAAAGTTGGGCATCACTCAGAAAAGAAGTGTTTTTGGCCCTTCAAGCCAGGTTCTCTTAAACCTGAAAAGACACAAAATTTGAGGGGACAGGTGAGTTTTATGGGAACATGAGTTTTGGAGATTTAGCACTCCCAAGGATCCTACTCCATAGCATGGGAGATTGTACACAAGCAGTAACTCAAAATCTACATAAAATTACATTGAAGAAATAGAGATAGAAATAATATTTTATGATAAAATTAAAGAGTGAACATATTACAAATTTTACTAGTAAATAAATAAAATATATAACAAAATTAATAAAACGATGTCAATGATTGTTATTGATAAATATAAATGGTTCTGTTTGCTAGGGTTTTTATTTTACTAAACTATTTACAAGGTTGCCAGACATGGAAATCCTCTTCCTCAATGACGTAAACCAAATTTACTGAATGTGACAAATTAATTTAAATTATTGATTTAATTATTCTTTTGTGGTTGCTAATGACCTCAGCTGTTTCAGAAGTGATCTAAATTAAATATAGGAAAATATGGAAATATTTTACAATGTGTGGCTATGGTCCACCTTTGAAAATGCTCAGGTTGGCCATGGCCCCTCTGCACATGCTTGCCTTTGTTTACTTGGGCCCAATACTGGGTGTATAATGTTGAAACTCACTGTTCAATAACTGACTCTGAAGTTTGTATCTAGTATGCAGCTTTTCACTTTAAAACAAGGATTTAAAAAGCACAGTATGTTCTCATGTATCTAGCTAATTTCATTTTATTGTGAAAGGTGAATGTGAGAATGTGAGTTTTATTCTTTACTGAGGAGTTCATTAAAATTGAACTTCCTTGAGAGCCAACAAAAGAACCCCCAATCAGAATGTAAAACATTTGTACTCTGTCTGTGGTGTAAGTATAATTATAAATAGGTAGGGCCAATATTATTATATTTGTATCATGCTCTAATTTAAAGGTATACAGGATAGATTTTACTTGTGACAGAACATCAATCCAGTACTGCTTTTTGGGATAAATAAAAAATTGTCTTTTTTACATAAAACTTGTTTTCACTTGAGATATCAGGAATAGAATATAAAATCAAACAGAGGACTCGAAAATTGATGAAGGTACCACTTGAGGTTTTATATTAAATCTCACACTCATCATGTACATTGATATAAATCTTCCAAAACAGTTCCTAAAGAATTGTAGATTATAAAAATTTGGAATGTAGTGGTCATGATTTTGGGATCTACAAATTTTATTATGTATGCCAGTAGGGGAAAAGATAATATCAATTTTAATTGTGCAGTTACATGGATCTGACTTTTAAGACACGTCACTGAAGTATTGAAAACATGTTAAAAATTAAATTTTATTATAATTATATATTTTATAATTATAAACAGATAAACAAAATAAAGAACGGTGTTCCACGATGAACAATCTGATAACAATCAAGTTTCACAAATGCTCTTTTCTAACTTCAAATAATAATTTAAGGAAATATTTTCACTCATTACGATTAATTCAATTACTTATTAACTCGCTTATTTGTGAAGAACACTTAATTCAAACCTTTATTGAATTAATCAGTTTTTTTTAATAGAATGGTTTATCTCACTTTGGTGGCACAACCTCCCCAACCCAATTAAGATACTTGGAACTACCCCCGGTAATTGGCAATGAAATTACTTCACACACTTCGTAAGGATGATTCTGTTGTACAAATTCTACTACTTCTTTTACACGTGTTGTTCGAGTTTTCAAAAACATAAAAACTTCCTTGTCTTCGCACACAGTGCCTTTCCAAAGGTAAACCGACGTCACTTTCGGTATGATATTAGCACAGGCAATCATGTTCTTTGTAACCATTTCGTGGGCTAACCGCGTCGCTAATTCATTTTCTGGTACTGTGATGCAAACCATGGAATAGAGTAGACGACATTGTATCTGCTGTCTTAAACGCACAGAACATCGCAAAAACAACCCAAATGACATATTGCTCAATAAATTCATGGATAGAAAGAAGAGAAATGTGAGTCAATATCACAATCATATGCAAGTTATTTTCAAGTACATTACGCTTTAATTCCTTGGCAAATTTGGCATATTTTCTTCAACACTACTTAGCTTGAACACTGCACCTGCACTATACTCATACAATGATTACTACAATAATACCAATTCCACCATGACTATAATGATTGTGGTATTACTCGCGCACTTTTTCTTGAACGATGACCTTGAGCCCCCTCTTTGTGCAATAAACAGTTGAAGGCAAAAGCTCGATGCGGCACTGTAACAACCTTCAAGCATTAAACTTCGTTGGCGCGAAACAGAAGCTAGTCAAAGCCAGTTGCTTTCATAGTGCAGAACTCCCGTTCTGATTTAGTGTCAATATCGAAAGAAATGCTGAGTCAGGTCCAGTTTCGTCAAGGGAGTCGCCTAAAACTCCCCGAAAAAGATTAGAACAACGATGCAGTTTTGACTTCATTTCACAGACGTTGTCATTACTTAAAATACTCTAGTGGCCGACTTTGTAACTAATACCCCCACTCCACCCGAAATCGTCAATCCATCGTTCAACGAAAAGTGCCCGAGTAATACAGTATTATTATAGAGCGGCATGCAGCGCAAATAGAATATATCATATATATTTTTATATCAAAATATGCTGTGCAAATATGCTGTGTTGGGGGGGTGGGGGGACGTACACTGCTTAAGGGAGGAAAAAAAAAAAAAAAAAAAAAAAAAACACACACACACACACCTCCTTTAACCTAGCAATAAACAAAATATTTTCACAACAACGCTGTTCAACAACGTAATAGGTACTTCACTTATTTTTACGTATTTATTTACTTATTTTAATATTAAGGGGTGCATAAATTATGTAACGCTAGAGGAGGGAGAGTGTTTGCGTTACGATGCGCTACTTGGGTGTAGGGGGTGTTTCGTAACATTGATTTATTTATAATTTTTCGACATCTGATGAAAAAATTACTCTCTTCCCTCTTAAAACAAAACATTAAAATAATAATTACTTAAAAAATATAAATACTTTAAAGTTATTATGTAATTTGATACAATAAATAAAAGTATTTTTTCATGTTTTTTTATAGAATCTGTAAGATTACGAAGAAAGTATTCAAAACTGATCTGCCGTATATTCTAGAATCCCATTAAATTGGTGCAGTAGATTGTTGCTCATGCGTCATCCGTGACATGTGCATGTCAATCACGAGAAAATGAAGTCAGACCGTAAGCGCAATATGAGAATAACCGAAATAGCACTTTCAGTATTTGAATACTTCAGTCCAAATCGAAACTGTTTCATTGTTTTTGTATTTTTCTGGAGTGTCATAGTTGTCTTTGAATTACTGCGCGCATAGGAATTTAGGTAATTTAAACGCTTTTGTATTTTTCCATAGTTCCTGGATAGCCAAAGGAACCGTATATAGTACCTCTCACATGACCCAGGTGCAGATCCACGGGGAGGAAAATGAGAGAAATCCCCCCCCCCAAAAAAAATTATTCAGTAACTATTAATTTTAAATAGTCAAAAAACTTTTAAGCAAAAATATTTTCGAATAATCATTAAAACGAATAAAATCGTATCGAAGCATGAGGTGAGTGTAGCATTTTTCAAAATCTGTAATACGACACTTTGGACCAAAATATTTAGTATTTCTCCTCCCAAAATTTGTATCTGGGTCCGCCCCTTCATGACCAAAGGGTGTATAATTTTCTTTATCTTCTACGCGCATTGGAAAATAGTAATACATATAGATAATATAGAGGTTAGGGAATATAAAGGGCCACCTCGAATATTTTCTAAATAGTTCGAGATTTTGAGACATAAATTTTAGCAAACGAATCACGACATCGTTACATCAGTGGATGTTCCATAGTTAGCATTACTATTTGTTGGTATTTGATGAATAATTATTAATTATAATGAGCACAGAAAAGGGGGTGGAGAAGGAGCCTTGCGCCTGAAAATTTCGAAATGAATCCAGATGCTCTGCCTAGAAAACATTTTATTTCTTTAAAAATTAATAATTTCTCACTTTCCTACTAAAGCTGATAATTAGGGGAACTGCCGTCATTTAACCAACACTTCTAAAGCAGGCTATCTAAAGCAAAGAGTATTGTATTAGCGTTCTTTACTCTTAATGCGCAATTTCTTGCCCTTTTGTTTTCTTATTCAGAGAGTAAATAGTATTTATTTATTCTGTGGTGGCAGGTTTCTGTGCGACATGAGCTGCTAGTTGAGAAAGATGGTGAATTGTAAACAATTGTGAAGACGGGGAATAACACTCGAAAGAAGGATATTTATTATTACAAGAAGCATACAGTTGTCGTACAGTTTAGTGGATACGTTCATGTTCCTGTTGGAACTTCAAAATTTAAAATTAGACATTGGTATAATTAAGTAAAGAAGGTCTGTTATACTGTGTTAAAATAGAATGCACAATTCAAATAAATTGCGTAGAAAAGTGAATTAAATATATTATGAGACAGAAGGGTATATGAGTAGCATTTGTGATTTTTTGTTGTTGAATGTGTGGTTCAGTGCTTTTACAAGTATCTAATGTGTCATTCACTGATTATTATTTTTGACTTCTGAGTGCAATTTGTATAATGAAAATAACTATGGCTAATCCAAGAGGCTTACCACAAAGTAAAGAAGCTTTGTTAAAATCTTACACTACCCGCCTTAAAGATGATGTGAAGTCCATGTTAGAGAATTTTGAAGGCAAGTTTTAAGAATTTTATAACCATCTCTTTTATCATCTTGTCTTGTCTTTTTAATTGTCTGATTTCTATTACAGAAATTGTGAAGCTTGCTAAAGGTGAAAGTGAAACACAATTGTCAAAAATTACTCAGAGTGAGCAGGATACCTTTGAAATGCATGTTAGAGCAGCAAATATTGTGAGTTAATTGTATACATTTATTTATAGAACTTACTAATTAACATTTTTTGTTTATATTCATATTTTCACATTCTGCTGACATGTTAATCTTCTTTGATCTTCAGTCATCCTTAATTATATGAATTAGTTTATATTTTCTTATGTAGTCATTATTTATAATTGTATTACAGGTTCGTGCTGGAGAGAGCTTAATGAAATTGGTATCTGATATCAAACAGTACCTTATACTTAATGATTTTCCATCAGTTAATGAAGCAATTACTCAAAATTCAAAACTCTTTCGCACCAAACAGAATGAATGTGACCAAAAATTAATGAGTTTACGGGATGATATGGCTGCTGATCTTTATGATTTGGAAGAAGAATATTACACTTCTATTTACAAATAAAATTCATATTGAAATGTACATAAAACGACTGATTTTGTATTTTGAATGTGGTGTTATATCTTGAATTATTTCAGTATAAAAAATTGTATCATTTGTGTCTTCATAAATTTTCCATATTTCAGTTTAGTGTGATGCAGTGATTTTATGTTGTTGCTAGTCAGTGGGAAAGAACTGAAGCCAAATATGTGCTAATGAGTGTGAGATGTATCCATATCATAGAAAATTTTAAGTGGTTATTAGTTTGAAAAATAATCTTTCGATTATAGACTGTGTATTTAATCTCTGTGTTAATAGTTCCACTAATATTTGAATGAATTGTATGTAAATAAAGAATGTAAAAATTAACAAATGGTATGGGAATGATTTCTTATTTTATGACGCAACAATAATTGTTGACTAATCTTCCTTTGAAAGAGTGAATTTGTAAATATTTTTTTTAAAAATAAAAGTTTTTTTTTTATTTGTACCAATTTTAATTCTTGCATTGGGCAAAATAAAATAAAATTGAAGATTAAAAGCACCGAGGAATGAGGGTTGACTATAAGAAGTGATGTAGAGGATACACTTTGGTGTGTTTGAGCCGTGGGGTAAGACGCATTGAACACGAACGTGAATTGAGACTAGACGAAATTTCTGTGATATACAGAGCTAAAAGTTGGATATCCTCTAGATGTAAACAAAACGACGCAAGGACTATTTTTCTGGGGATAGCAAGAGCGGTATGTTAGTCAATGTGCAATAAATGACGTACCAGATCATAACTCATCTCGCGCTCTTACGTCAATTTGCAAATTGTGACACTTTTTCAAGATTACTATGAAATTAGTAAACGTAGTAATTTTCCGCAAGAGTGTTTATATTTTTAACAGGCACAATTTTATTCTTCAATTTTTGCAAAATCATCCTCAAAATTATTTAATTAACATTTGGAAATTATGCACCTGTAGTTCTCAACGGCACCGATAGATAGCCACCCCAGTAGTGGGAGTCTTCGACTGACATATTGGTAGTTGCATTCGGGTCAGTGGTGTAATTTTAGGAAGAATTTGTTGTGTTTTTATATCTTTTACAGAATTGCTGTGTTATTTCTAGTCAGAACTTATACTTGCTTTAAGAAATGTTTAATCTTGAGTCATTTCTGATCACATCATTTAACATTTTGGTTGCTATTGCTCCCGCCTTTCACCGTCTGGTTGTGTAATCGTTCTTCTAGCGTTTTGCTGACTATTTATTTAAAAGTTAAGTGATATTAATTATCGGCACGTACGTATTGAAGCTAGTGAGATAATGGCCACCGTAAGCTCGCAAGATAACAGTGCTCTCGTAGATCAGACCGTGCCACAATGGAAACGCGAGCTTATCTTGCGTCGACGAGCATTGGTTAGGACGCTACCTGCTGGTAACACGACAGTTAAGCTCACTCGGCCCAGTGTTGTGGCAGCTGTCAGACAACCTGAACAGGGTACAGCTACCGAAAACGTCATAGGAAAGCAACAACATTGTGGTACGACCGTGTTAGCCTCGAACAAGGGCATACTGGACCAGGAGCGTGCGGACTTTAACCCTAGAGGGCGCATAAGCGACTCATCCTCGACAGCTGCAGCAGCAGTCGTCGGGAACATGCGGCTCGTGGAGCATATTGCGGATGCGGGAGCTGAGTTGGTGATAAATGGCGTTAGTGTGGACAACAGTTCTATAAATCTTGATTCGAGTTCTGTTAAAACGTGTTCCAAGATGGGTGAAGAAACATCTGCGAAGAAAATGTGTTCTGCGAGTAGGCCAGTCATAGACAATGGTGTACTGCTAAGTGAAAATAATAATTGTAGTCATCCCCCGGATGATGGTCAGTCCGATTCAAGTGAAGAATTAGAGTATGGTCCAGGTATAGTTAATAAATTACGCAGCAAGTATTTAAGTATGACTTTAAGGGAAAATCAAAACAAAGGAGTAAGACCTTCACTAGTCAACTTGAGGAGAGCTACTAGTCTTGAAAATATGTTAGATAGTGAGGGCCTGGATGCCGGAAAACCTCAGATAAAGGCACAACCACGTTTTGTTAAGAAAGAGGATGCAAATAAAACCACTGCCAAACCACAGAAGACTTCCCAACACCACCAGCGATACAGAGGCATCAGTCGTGGTAATGATTCTTTAAAGCGTGCTCGCTCAGTTGAAGCTCTATGTCGCAATGAATTAAAAGGTAACATTATGAACCGAGGTGCATTTAGGCATCCGGTGAAGTCTGGAGTTATTGACATAAATAAAAACAGTGCACCTGTCATCAAACCTCTGGTGAATGAAGATATTATTATTGTAGAAAATACAGCCAAGAACAACAAGAAGACAACAGATATCAAAACTTCTCCTCAAGTACCGAAAATGCGTACAGCAAGCGTAGCCCCGGAAACTGAATTACCTCCACCTGATGTTGTGAAAACTACAATGAAGATATTTGAAGGTTCTCCAGGCCACAAAGTGTCATTTCCTCATAAGACTGGAAATATCTGTCCAAAAGGTAATGCGAAACCAGCATTGCCACCTAAGTTAAATGCAGAAAAAGTACAACAGAAATGTCTGAATAAGTCTCCTCCTAGAAGAGGTTTGGCTCCATCTCCAGAATTGCGACCATTTTCACCACCCAACAGATTGCTGTTATCTCCTGACAACTCTTCCACCCCTCCATTGTCACCTTCATCTCCTACACCAGGTATTCGGAAGTTGAAATCCCCATCTCCAACAATAGAGAGTAAGCAGGCTTTGTTTATGTTCAAAGAAGCTTCTGAAAGTGAACAGTTTGTGCCTCAACAAGTTATATCAAATGGTAAAGCAAGTTCAGTGAAGACTAGTGTTGAAGGTGAGAGTTCTGATGAAGATATTGGTGATGGCGCTGTGAAAACCGTTCCTCAGACTGTTTTAGAAAACATTCGCAAAGATGGCCTTTCTCTTGAATTTTCTTTCAATAGGGGTGGAAAAAATAGTAATGAAAAAATTAAGTCATATTTACCCAGTGTTAAAAATTCTGTTCAAAATGAACAATTATCACCAGTACTGTCACCTGGTGCATTTAATGAGTCACCAGCTTTGAAAATTGTTTCCTCTTCCAGTGTTTCTAATTTTCAACAAGGTTCAAAACAAATTGGTGTTATTCGTCCAATGGTTACTAATAAGAATTTGCCTGTGTCTTCAGGGGTTACTGGTAGGGAAATGGAAAAGAATTTGATTAACCGGGAGAAGTTGAATGATCAACCAAAAAATAAAGTATTAGTGAAGAAGAAAATCGATGATATAATAGAAGGAGTGAATGTGAAAGAAAAAACTAGTAACAGTGAAAAAAATGTTCTTCCAAGTAAACTTAGGAGTACCAAGTCGGGTGGCGATCACACACAGAATATAATGGTATTCAACTTCAGTAATCGGAAGGATCCACCACCCGATTACATTCCAGATGATGGTTTAAACTTGGCACCTAAGAATAAATTTAAGGTAAGTCCAGAACATACAGAGTTTATTTGTAGCAGTAAAATTTTCTGCAGGGTAAAAATAATTTTCTTTAGTTTAAAAAATTATTAATACTCGGAAGTTTATTAGAAATGTTTCCCATAAATTATGACTTTTTATATTCCAGTAAACTCACCAAAAAATGTCTTTTTGATGTTAATTCTCACTCAAATGATTATTGTTATTATTATTATTATTATTATTATTATTATTATTATTATTATGTCATTCCTATTAAATAGCTCTGAAAATGCAACAAGTGTGTATAATTCTGTTAAGTGAAAACTTTACTAATTAATTGGATTGTTGGTGAAGTAGATACCTTTTTTTATTTTGATAAATAAATAGAGATATTGTCAGGTATCAATATTTTAATTCAACTTGAATTAAAATATTGATACCCGACAATATCTCTATTTATTTATCAAAATGAAAACTTTACATTTGGAGTTCTGAAATAAATTGTTGCAGGGTATTTATTTCTGGATCTTCATTAAGAAATAATTAATATAATTTTTGTATTTGAGATTAAAACTACAGTTTTGCTAGAACTCATTCTGTGCATATTGTGAAGGGGCACCATAAGATGTTTATTGGGCACATACTTCAGTAACCCGTATTATCATACAACCTCACAGATTTGTTAAGTGCATTTGTAAGTTAAGACATTTTTCTCATCCTTCGCAACGTAGCAAAGCATCTGTAACAACCATTGCAAGTAAAATACAAGAAACTCAAGCTTTTTAGGATAGTTATTGTTAATTCAATTAGAAAAATGTATGGTAGGTAAATTAACATAATTTTCTGGCATTCCATCAAATGATACTTCTCCGGTAATCATACATATTTACTGAAGGTGCGAATGTGTCACCTCTGGAAGTCGACGCGCCTCACCCACGTTACTTTCCGACAACATTCCCTGTCATTCTTCTTGCCATTTTCATTCTGTTTTCCAGAGACTCCTCAACATATGATTCGGCAACAGAACTCCCGTACCCACCACCAAAACGTTTCAAATTCATAACCGAAGCTTGTGTACGGGTCAAAGCCGTACCCGAAATTGTTCTCAAAGAGTGACCGGTGTATTTTAGGGTCTTGGGAGATTAAGATGGGTGATAGTAATTTTTTGTACACCTGCAATGTTGTGAATGCCAACTTTATGATTTTTTATTTTGTATGGTTGTAAAAAAAGAATTTGTCGTGGTTTATGTGCTTTGGAGGTAAAATCATTTCTTTAGTGACTGTTTCCACGTTGTTTACGATGCCAACGGGAACCTTCGTAAAAAAAAATCGTGAATTATGATTTTTGAAACCATTAATTTGCACCATTATAATAGAACCATCCTTGTTTGTATCGTTCACGCGAAGATGGTATATTTCATCAAAGCGACTAACACTGAAGAAGCCAAATATTAGAACAACCTACAAAAAAATCGCGTTTTCCCCACTACCTGTGCATTGTTTTTATTCCAGAATACTAATGTAACAATATTCGTACCTTATGAAACATTCATCCCTAGCTTCTATGCCTAAACATTGGCTTTTTTTGTTTGCACACAAATCTTTAAGAAATCATAAAGCCTGTGGAATGATTTCAAGTCCACATTTTCAATTACACATATGCATCACAGCAGTGAATAATGAACTCATAATGAAGTTACCTTATGTGTGTGTGTGGTTTTGTAAAACAAAAGTGAGAGGAAAGTTTGTATTGATAAAAGGAATAAGTGAAAAATAAGCTTACCAATTTTTCAATATAAGCAAACACATTCTGTATTCACGTTTACGTCATTTTGTTCTTGCCATGCGTTAAATCCCTGATATGCTTTTTCATGTGGTGCTTTTAATTTTTCTGGATTCAAATCCCATGTGCCTTCTGCACCTGCATCTAAAATTTCTTTAGGCACAGAAAAATTATTCGCGTCCACCTTTTTGGAACAACGATATATGAATATTTTTTATAATATATCGCAAGCAATACCCCCATAGAATCTTATTAACGTGCCGCCGAAACAGAATTCATCTGTTTACTTTCGCAGCAATGTCATAAATTTTCGCGTAAATTGTGAGATTTTTTTTGACCGAAAAAAGGTTGAACATCCTACAAAATGTTAGTGTTATTACTGCCTCTTCCAAATTAAAATTATCCGCTTCCATACGTTTCACCTCGATTTTAAAATGTTGCTTCTGCAACAATAACATTCATAACATTACTAGGTATGTTAATAACTATAAACGAATGTTGAAATATTAAGTAGGAAGAAGTGATTGATGTTTTACTTAAGTATGTGTAGAATGTTTTATTTTGAAAGTAATCCGTTTAATTTTGTGGCATGTTAATAATCAAACAACTTTATAAGAACATGTTTTATTGTTTTTTGTCAGATTCATTTGCCTCATAGTAAACGTTTAACAAAAAGATCTTGCAACGGAACAAAACTGGTATCGGTTAGAGAATTTGAAGTTGTAATCGTGCGTTTAGGAGATTCTCGCATTCTCAATATAGCAGTTCCATTTAAACACTCATGTGGTTTTCCAGTCTCGCGCGCCACATGTACAATCGATCAAAATTCATGTTCTTGCTGTTAGTCGTGCCCTCGTGAAGGGAAATCTTGTTAAGTGTACTCTAACATTTAAATGCAGATTTTTATTATCGCGGCAGTGGTCATCGGCTTTGTACGAACCTTACGAGATTTAAGTGGGTATTGATACCTTGTGTGAACTTACAAACGTACCTCTGCTCTTTTTGACGGTTCGTCTTCTCTAATGGGCGAGACAGAATCTGCTCATGTCAGCGAAGAGCGTGAAATATCCAAATGTTTTACGAAGTTGTTTTTTAAATTGAGGTACGTTACGTTTGTTAATAAGAAGCAAAATACTGTATTTATCATTAAGAAAATATTATAAATACAGTATACTGTATACACTAAAAATATTTTTCAATTTTCTATATATTTCCATTATATTTCCACATCTATATATTTCTATATATTTCCACAAGTTTTTGAATTCTGACGTTAATGAAATCAGCCACCTGTGAAGAAGCCCAATCGATGACTGCTGCTTTCGTTTCGTGTCGTTGATCCATTAACTACCAAGAAAATGCTTTAATCATCGAAACACGTGATAACGGGTACAAATTCTTGACTGCAAGGGGGGGGGGTGATCCTTTTGTATCTATCCAAAAAGACTAGAGATTGTGTAGAAATAAGGCGATGTCGGCGGACGACTCAATTTTCTTAAACGTTTATTAAGTTCTGCAGCTCGGACAGCGTACGGCTAGAAAAGGTGTGCAAACGCGAGCAAAGCAAGCTGACATCAGAAACGCATGCGTACTGTGGAGATCGCACGTCAACCTCACTTTCATTCGCAGACGGACCTCTTTTAAAAGAAAATACCTTTCGTTTATTTCCTCGGATGTTTGAAGGCGCAGCGACGTTTGGCTGCGCTCGTCCCACGATGCGGCGAGGCGCCGACCTTGGCTCCACGCTGTGGACGCGAAACATCGTCGTCTGTCCGACGCATTTTAAGCTGACTTTTTTTTGCCGAACACTATCATTGTGATATTTTGATGTTTCTCCACTCGGATCGAAGGTAGATGGCATGTATCAGGCCTTCTCTCTAAACATCCGTGAACCTGTGCAACGCGTGATTTCCAATTGCCATTCACACTACGTTAACTTACTGCGATTGTAATTCGAACTCAATGATCTCTGTATATGGTATAAAGAGATCAGTGTTCGGACTACGTAAACAAAATGTCCTTCATTCCCTCTCTTTCTTCGCTTTCGTTCACCGATCTCGCGACAGAGGAGACAATTTGTTGCGATGATTTGGTTTGTTATTTGCATTGCCTTTTTTAGTGCTACGGTTCCAAAGCTTATCATATTGGAATTGAGCCACGCGTGTTATTCAATTTGTTACAAGAACACATTTCGAATTTCAGGGGCCTTCATAAAGGCCTATAGGGGCCTCAAATAGAAATAACTGTTACTGCTGAAAGGCAATAGCTACACTGTCTTTTTAAATAACATCGGTCAAGTTGTCAGTCCATTGCATGTCACGTGTCTTCAAAATGTGCAAGTTATATAAATATTACTTCTGGATCCGTGATAACTCAACGTCAAAACTAACTCCTAATCATACAGAGCAAGTGAATTATGTTTCACAAATAAAATTGTCATTATGTTTGTGGGAGTATTTATTTAGTAAATCCGTGGACAATCTAAAAGAATTGCAAATGTATCACAACGAATTAGCAACAAAACTTTAATTTTTCTATTTATTCATTATTAAAGGGCTGTAGCAAATTAAATATGTTCCGTTTGAGTTGCTGTCGCGATAACATCCATAAAATTAGGGGGGAAATAACATTCAAAACTTTGTGTATGAGTTTGAATGTTGTCTTGTAGTTACGTTGCGTTCATTATTCTTGAGAACATGAGAAAATTAAAAATGTAATTAATTTTATAGACCATTCCTGCCTTTGTTTGCATAAATATAATTTTGACGGTTTTCAAGAATTAATTGACTTTATTTTATAGAAAGCGCGCAAGTAATGTGACAAGCCTTGTGCCACTTTGAAAATAAACTATTAAGAAAAAACTTTTTTTTGGAACTTCCTAGTACAGACGAATTATACGTACTTCAAATTATGAATTTCATCAATTCACAGAAGCATTATATTCTCTAAACCTCATTTTGAATTGCAATAGGTAGTGTTTACTGCAGATTTTGTTGATCCGTTTGTTGTGGCATTGAGGTTTGTTTTTTCTGTAAATATAAATACGGTCGGTATGCATTACAACTCTATTATATGAAGAGGTCATTTTTTACTACTTTTTAGTCATTATAATAGCCCAAAGTGATTTATGACCAGTATAAATGCTGTTTGAACTAGACTTTAAGTATGCCCTTTACATATATAGAACGAATCTTGTTTTTTTCGCGTGTACAAATAAGCCTCGTGATAGGAAATTAGTGGT